CAACATCTCATCCAAAGGACAGCACTTCTGACATTCCAGATCACCCCCCAGCACTGCACTAGAGTATCAATCCCAACTATGCGAATAATAATAATAATAATAATCCTTGCATTTGATACAGCGCTTTTCACGTCGGGAGGACGTCCCAAAGCGCTTCACAGAACACACTGTAAAGTGAATTGACTGTATATTTGTGGGCGAACGCGGCAGCCAATTGCGCACATCAGTGTCCCACAAACTAGGTAGGTATGTGGGGATCACACCCGCAACCTTATGATTCAGAGGCAAAAATCATGTTCCCAACTGAGCCTGGCTGACACATCAGGTGTTGTCCTGGCCAGCAATCCCCCCGATTCCATTCCCTTCTTCAGGGTAGTTGACACATGCTTAAGAGTATCCTGTAGCTCAGTGGTTAGAGGACTCGCCTCGCAAGCAAGAGACCTGGGTTCGATTCCAGGCAGGGTGAAACCTTGGGCAAGTTTCCTTACTCCACATGCATGATAATAATCCCTCAACAAAAAGCACAATAAATTTGTCACTTCAATCCACGACTGTGCGTGGGCCGCTGATGTGCGTAATTGGCTGCCGCGATTCGCTCACAAATATACAGTCAATTCACTTCACACTATATTCTGTGAAGCGCTTTGAGATGTCTAGCAGACGTGAAAAGCGCTATATCAAATGCAAGGATTATTATATTATTCTATTCAACCCAGATTGAAATTTCCACATACGTATGCCACCTATACACAGAAATTTCCCTGCAACTGGAATGGGATGCACTCTCCCCGTGGGGGGGGGGGATGTACCCTGCTTAGCTAGTTCTTGAGAGTATAAGGTACAGGTTGGCAAGAGCCAAAACTGGGGAACCACAGAGTGTGTTTAACCAGATAACGTGTTATTGAGGACATTGTGTGGCAAGTTTCCCACTGCTTACCTAGCTAGGACTGTCCTACTCGTTGGGGTTTGGTCTTGCATGGTTAGCAGGAGCCAAGTGGGAAGAATTCCTGCTTCCTGGAGACCGGAGTCCTGGCTGTGCTATCATCAGCAGTGCCCTGGAGTACTGTGGACCCGCCTGGCTCAGGAACCAGACCACTGAGACCACCACAATGATTCCGACGTTCCGTTGCCAATCACGTCACCTTGGAGCTATCTCAGCTGCAAGGAGACCCCACTCACCTCCACCTCAAAGAGGGAGAGAATTCGGGAAAATGCGCCGATGTTGAGTCAAGGCCTTAATTTGAAAGCCACGGTTTCCCACAGCTGAGGAATAACCGGCTTCCACATAAAGAACGTTCCACAATTCCACAAGCTCTTAAACTTTAGGACAAATCGTCCGACAGGCTAACAACTCGGCAGAATTTAGGGCCTTTGAAACCTAGAGACCTGTTTCACAGAGGGAATCATTGCCACCTTGTGGAGGAACGGAGATTGGAAATGCTTGTCGCTATGAGGTAATGCAGAAACAATGTAATATACTTGTTGTATTGCAACAAAAGTCAGATCATTGCATCATGTGTTTATAACCATTGGGGGAAACAAACATCTTCCTTAACCTGCAGGGTTTCCACGAAGTCCTGTTTTCCCCATGTTTTTTTTTCTTACAGGGCACTGACCAACAACTGAAACACGTGGACGAATGATGATAATTGTATTTAGAAGTACTTCATTGGTATCCAGTACGTGTGTTAAATGTGTTTAAACATCCAGAGGATCGCTATGTGTGAGCGCTATAATTTTCATGGCAGATCCATCGCCAGGTTCGGTGGGATAGCTTTCAAAACGTGGATGGAGTGAGGAGGCGAAATGCATCTCTGACAGCTTGTTTCAGCTCCTCTGTAGTCTCATATCACTGTTTTGTAATGGGAGGAGGTAAGAAGACTTGTGCACAGCCTGCATTCGCTGAATAGCCAACAATAACTTGCGTTTATATAGCAACCTTCATGTAGGATAACATCTCGGAGCACGTCACAATGATGGGGTCAGACACTGAGTCCATAGGTGTCCATAGGCACAGGTAAAGAGGTAAATTTAAAGACGGGACTTAAAGACAAATAAAGCGTGGGCAAGTTGAAGGAATAGCAGCAATAGCCTAGGTTGCCATGCACGTCCTGAACTCAAATACTTAGTAACGCTGATCACAACAGTTAATTAGTCTATCTATAAAGAAACACTTCCTGTCCAACTAGAAACAATCTTCCTTCAAGGGAGTGGGTAAGCGGGGTCCCTGTGTAGAGACGTTGACATGCCTGGCAAGCGAGTGTTGGAATCGAGTCTCTCTAACCTGGCTCCTGAGCCCAGTGGATCCGCAGTATTGATCAGACAGCCTAGGAGGATTAGGAGGGGTAGACTGATCACTGGAAGCAGGGATTCTTCCCACTCAGCTTCCGTTAACCCCACAAACCAAAGCCTGAATGGATAGGATGGTCCTAGCTGGATAAGCAATTGGAAGCTTGCTGACGGTGCTATCAATGGTAAGCTATGGGTTTTTAGCTGGTTAGACTCCAGCAGTACCCCAATATGCGATTTGGTTTCCACAATCCTTGGTTCTTACCAACCTGTGCCTAATACTGTGATTGAAGGGGTTAAATTCAGAACGAAATTAAGCAAACACTATTTCAGTGAGCAAATAGTGAAGCTGTGGAACAGGCTCCCTAGGGAGATGGTTGAAGCAGGAAATGTTGACTGTTTTCTTTTAGAAAATAACGTTATGGGATATAACACATAGGTAGTTCGGGACATATGTGCAGGCGACCGCAAGGAAGGTGGAAGGCGAACTAGATGGACCTTGGTCTTTTTTCGTCTAGGATTTGTTATGTTCTTGTATAATGCTTTCTGAAATGAAGGAGGCCATTCAGCCTATTGACCTAATACTGATTTTTACCCTTCTGCTGGAGTTTAGCAGAGTATGTCTATCCAGGAGAGACTGCATACCTCATTCCAGACAAACAGAAATTTCCATACGTATGTGGAGCTCTTAGTGGTTTGGATACTCTGAAGCATGGCACAGTATATTCTCTGTGTAAAGAAACACTTTCTTGGCAAAATAGCCACAAAATCAACCAAAGGCCCTGACTGTGTTGAAACACTTTGCTGAGTGCCAAGGCAGGTGCTTTGCTGAGCCAGGGTTTATAAACCTGTGCCTCATTTATAATAACATCCTAGTGAATCATTCCGCCACACCTTTTAGGAACCCAGTTGTTAATCAATTGGCAGATTGCTTTTCCGGGGGTAATAAACCCTTAAAAAAAAATATTGGTCACTTCAATCCGCGACTGTTTGTGGGACACTGCTGTGTGCAATTGGCTGCCACAGTTTGTCCACAAATATACAGTCAATTCACTTTACAGAATATTTTTTGAACGCATTGAGATGTCTCAACGATGTGATAAGGTGCTATATGTAATATAATTATGTAATTATTATTATTGTTATTATCAAATGTAATTATTATTGTTATTATTATTCCATTCCCAAACTATAGCTTACTCCAATCTGCTGACTAGGTTAGGATTACCCAACCCAATGTTGCTTGGGATTTTTTACAGACATCCAAGAAAGAATTGGTTGAATTGGGTTTTTTCCACAATTTCAGAGATGAAAGAGCAAAGTACTAACCCACAGAACCACCCAGTCACAAGGAACATAACTACCATTGTGCACTACCATTATCTGTAGAACAGGGGCAGCCCAGAGACTGAAGTGTATATTATAACAATATTGTGTCAATTAATGTGGGTAATTCCAGTGGCAAAATGATTATTTACTGTCACAAATATGCTGCCATTAGTTAAGGTATAATAATCCTTGCTTTGATGTAGCAACAACAACAACTTGTATTTATATAGCGACTGGGGTGGAGTCTCAGAGTGCTTAACAGTGGTGAAGCTTGATGCCGAGCCAGGGAGAAAGGGCACGGAAAAGAGGAAAGTCTCCAGGTGTATATCTGAAGATGGGCAAAGAAGGGGCAAGATGGAGGTAGGGTGCTCCAGAGATTCGAGGTGTAACGGCTGAAGGCACAGCTACTGACGGTGGAACAGAAGGGTCGAGAGACATGCAGAATGCCCAAGTCGGCTGAGCAAAGGAGACGAGTAGAGGAGTTGGGTGTGAGAAGGTTGGAGAGGCAGGGAGGTGCAAAGGCATGAAGTAGTGACAACAATAATAATAATAATAATCCTTCCATTTGACACAGCGCCTTATCACGTCGTTGAGACGTCTTAAAGCGCTTCATAGAATATATTGTAAAGTGGATTGATTGCATGTTTGCGGGCGAAACGCGCCAACCAATTGTCCACAGCAGCGTCCCACAAACAGTGGTGGATTGAGTGAGTAATAATAATCCTTTTATTTAGTTTAGTGGCTAATTGTGTCGTAAAGATGTCTCAAAGTGCTTCATACTCTCCGGAATTAGGTAAGTTGGAGGAGTGCCTCCAAGGAGAGAGTGTGCATTCCAGAATTATAATAATAATAATAATAATCCTTGCATTTGATATAGCGCTTTTCACGTCGGGAGGACGTCCCAAAGCGCTTCACAGAACACACTGTAAAGTGAATTGACTGTATATTTGTGGGCGAACGCGGCAGCCAATTGCGCACAGCAATGTCCCACAAACAGTCGTAGATTGAAAATGACCAATTTATTATTGTTTTTGGTTTTGGAGGGATTATTATTAGGCTCTGTGTGGAGTAAGGAAACTTGGCCAAGGTTTCGCCCTCTGCCTGGAATTGAAATCAGGTGTCTCGCTTGCAAAGCGAGTGCTCTAACTACTGAGCTACAGGACTCCACGTGTATTGCCGTGTATAGGTGGGATACATGGAATTCTCAGTTTTGTTTGAAAACACTTATGCACTGTGTGTGTCAGACACCTGGTTGACCAAAAACTGATTAACACGGCGAGGTCAACGAATGTCTTTGTTTCAACGTGTAGAGCGTAATCACAACGACAACTGGCATTTTATGCAGCGCCCCTCACGCAGGGTGGCTTGACAGTGGCGGGGGTCTTCAGGAACGACCCGAAGAAGGCAGAGGGGTTAAGGGTGAGTGTTGCAATTCACCTTAAAACCGACTCGAATGAAAACTCTAACCACAGAGAGCCGACCGAAACAAACAAACAAACAAAAAAATCACATAAGAACGCATATAGGAACGTGCTTGAGTCATTTTTTTGCACAGCAGAACGAATTAATGGCAGAATTAATGCACGTCCCTGGGCCTGGACTGTACTCCCCTCACTGTGGCCGTGGATGGGATCAGCTGTGCCTGGAGCTTCCGGGTGGGTGATTGACAGCCGGCCGTCCGCACAGCCGATTGGCTCGTGCCTAGCAACGGACGTCGTCAAGGTAAACAGTGAGATGCAGGGGGTGCACCTCCATTGCAAGCTGCAAGGTAAGAGACACTCTTTGATTCCCTCCCCTGTGATAGTGATCCCCCGCATGTCGCGCACAACGTAATCCCTGGCAAACGTGCACATCAATGCGTGCGGCCTGGCGCGAGTTTGTCCCTCTCTCCCCGGTGGAGGTGAGGAGCTCTGAATCATTGTCCGCTGGCTTCAACTACAAGCACCATGATCCAGCCGCAGCACTCATAATAGATCAACCATAAAGCTTGCGCTTGCTACCGAGCCTTGCCAGGCTGGGCGGACCCCCTCTCAAGGCGCTCCGCGGCGCCCACCGCGAGGTGTGGCGACTCCTGTGTTTTTGTGGCCGAACGTGGCAGCCAATTTGCGCACAGCAACGCGCCACAAACAGGCCATTTCGCTTGCATTATTATGAAGCAAACAAATGATTTTACCTGAGGGGATTGTTGCCCAGGAAGCCAGTTTTGTGTCCTTCGGCAAAGCATTTGTTTGCATATCGGATGCATTTTTAATAACAATAATAATAATAATCCTTGCATTTGGTATAGCGCTTTTCACGTCGGGAGGACTTCCCAAAGCGCTTCACAGGACGCACTGTAAAGTGAATTGCCTGTACATTTGTGGGCGAACGCGGCAGCCAATTGCGCACAGCAATGTCCCACAGACAGTCGTGGATTGAAGTGACCAATTTATTTTTGTTTTGGAGGGATTATTATTAGGCTCTGTGTGGAGTAAGGAAACTTGCCCAAGGTTTCGCCCTCTGCCTGGAATCGAACTCAGGTCTCTCGCTTGCAAAGCGAGTGCTCTAACCACTGAGTTACAGGACTCCATATTATTATTTTTGACTGTTGGGTTCTAATTGTTAGCGATCCCAGGCACTACGCCCCACATAAAGGGCGCTATATAAATGCAAGTTGCTGTTGTAATTCTATGCTCCCTTTCCTTTTCTCGAGTTGCTGTTTTGTGTGTACTGGTTTATGATTAACAGCTACACTCTCACTTCTTGGGTGGGGAAGTTGATCAAGACTCAGATCAGGGGCTTTGAGCTCACAGCTTAGTGACGAATATATTGTAAGCATTAAAAGTTTTCTTTTGGTTCTGGGTTGCAAAGTTACTGTGGAGTTCCCCTACATGAGTCTACACGCTCCCCCTTGTTGACATCATCCACAGATATGGGGTAAATTTCCACATGTATGCAGATGACACCCAACTCTACCTAATGCTTCCACCCTGAACTCCAGGACTACTGGCGTCCTGACCGACTGCCTGTCCGACATCAAGTCCTGGATGAGGGCCAACTTTCTCCGACTCAGAGTCAGCAACACCGAGGCCCTCCTGATTGGCTCACGCCAGCCCTTCCGCACCTCGGGCGCTGTCAGCATCAGCCTCCACGGCTGCACACTCAACCTCACTAAGCCAGTCAGGAACCTGGGTATCTTGTTTGACCCTGAACTGTCCTTTCTCCCCCACATCCGCGCCATGACCGGCACTGCCTACCACCACCTCCGCAACATTGCCAGACTCCGCCACTGCCTCACCCCTCAGACTGCCGAAACCGTCACCCACGCATTCGTCACCTCAAGGCTCGATTACGGGAACTCCCTCCTCATCGGCCTTCCCAACTCTTCCCCTCACAAGCTGCAGATCATCCAAACCTCTGCAGCCCGTGTACTCTCACGCACCAGGCTCTGCGACCCCATCACTCCCACCCTCACCCGACTCCACTGGTTCCCCATCCCCCAGAGGATCGAACTCAGGATCCTCGTCCTCACCTTTAAGGCCATCCATGGCTTTGTCTCCTCCTACCTCTCTGACCTGCTGACTCCCTACCAAACTGCCCACTCCCTCCATTCATCGGGCTCCGGTCTGCTCCATGTCTCCCGCCCGACCCGCCCTACCATCGGTGGCCGGGCTTTCAGCCTCTCTGCCCCCACACTCTGGAACTCCATCCCACAGTCCCTTCGCCTCGCTTCCTCCCTTGCCTCCTTCAAGGTCGGTCTCAAGACCCTTCTCTTTGACCGTGCCTTTGGTCTCCCTCCCACCTCTCTGCCTTCCCTCACCCCTACACCACCCCCATGCTCGGACCCCGACACCTGACTGTTCAGCGCTTTGGGTCGTCCTCCCGACGTGAAAGGCACTCTATAAATGTCATTTTGTTGTTGTTGTTGTTGAGTCCTGTAGTGTATTGGTTAGAGCACTCGCCTCGCAAGCGAGAGGACCTGGTTTCGATTCCCGGGGAGGCCAAAACCTTAGGCAGGTTTCCTTACACCACATGCCTCTGTTTACCAAGCAGTAAATAAGAACCTGTTTTTAGTCAAGCGGTGGATCACTTTTCCGGTGGTAATAATATCTTTTTTAAAAAATTAGTCACTAAATCCACAACTGTTTGTGGGACACTGACTTGCGCAATTGGCTGCCACGTTTTGCCCACAAAATATAGTCAAATCACTTTACGGTATATTCTGTGAAGGGCTTTGAGACGCCTTGAAGACGTGATAAGGCACTATACCAAATGCAAGGATTATTATTAAATTAACAAAGAGGAGCTTGCTGGTGTAGCTGTCTTAAAAGATCCCCACTACATTATGCTCATGTAATAATTCTAGAGTATTAAAATCATTCTGTTAGTTGATTTTCCACGCAATGCATTTTCTGTACAAATTGATGCAAAATGAATCACTCTTTTCAGGATGAATGGAGAGCTCTGGAAAGCACAAGCTTGGAGTGAAAGTAAGCTTCTTTAGTTATTGAGTACTTTTCCAACTGTGTGTTGGACCAATGTTTGGACCATTGTCTGTTAAGTAAATGAATAACATGTGATCTTTTCCACTTCAAACATGGCTGACTTCCAGGTCGTAAAGTTGCCATGGTTGTCACTTCCTGCACAGGATTGTTGCCTGCGCCGCCTTCCACAATACATCCACTACACTTTTCAGCAAATCCTGTGAAGCGCTTTGAGCGACGTCTTGAGAGCGTGATAAGAAGCCATATCCAATGCAAGGATTCTTATTATATTCTTAACAACAACAACAACCACAATAACTTGCAGTTTTATGGCTCCTGCGAGGTGGGGCAGCTTCTCAGAGTGCTTAACAATGGCGGAGCCCGATGCTGAGCCGGGGGGAAGGAGGGGGAGACGGTAGGCATAGTCAAAGAGGATGGTCTTCAGTTGTGATCTGAAAGAAGGGAGGGAGGGGGCAAGGCGGAGGATTGAGGGAGAGAGTTCCAAAGCTTCGGGACATAGCGTCTGAATGTGTGGCCACCAATGATGGAGCGGAGGGGACAAGCAGGGAGCCAGAGCCAGCCGAGCGGAAGCAGCGGGTGGTGGAGTGGGGAGAAAGCAGATCAGAAAGATAGGGAGGTGCCAGGGCCTGAAGGGATTTGCAGACGAGTGTGAGAGGATCATGAAATTGATCCGTTCTGGGAGAGGGAGCCAGTGGAGCCTGGCGAGGACTGATGTGGTGGGGGTATGGTGTTTAATGTGGGTGAGAATATAGGCGGCGGAGTTCTGAATCAGTTGAAGTTTGTGGGTAGCGAGGAGGGCATTGGAGTATGGGTGGCAACTATATGGTCAAAAAGGTTTGCGTTCTAATGCACAGACGTGTTCCGTCGCGCTGTAAATAGGTGACATTTGAACTGCTCGATTAAAGGCCTCCATTAAAATGACTGCACCCAAAGGCTATAATTTCAGCATTGGGCCTTATACACAGAACAAGACAGATAGCTGATCCAGAACTTACAAGTGTACGGCTATTTGAAATGATCATTGCAGTGTTTGCATAAGACACAAACTTTAGACCGTTGCAAAAATGGTCCTTAATTCTCGTCCAGGCCTGACACTTCAATAATAATAATAATCCTTGCATTTGACATAGCACTTTAACATGTCTTCGAGACGTCTCAAAGGGCTTCACAGAATATATTGTACAGTGAGTTGACTGTATATTTTTGTGGGTGAAACACGGCAGCCAATTGCACACAACAGTGTCTCACAAACAATCATGGATTGAGTGACTAAATTATTATTATTATTTTCAGGGGTTTATTATCCCGGAAAAGCGATCCGCAATTAACAACTGGGTTCCTATTTACTGCTAGGCAAAAAGAGGCGTGTGGAGTAAGGAAACTTGCCTAATGCATCGCCCTGCCCGGGAATTGAACCCAGGTTGTCTCATTTGCGAGGCGAGTGCTCTAACCACTAAGCTACCGGACTCCACAATTAATGATAATAATAATATTTGAGATAGCTGTTTCCTGTTTCCATGCTGTACAGTCGATGTAAATCTATGTATGTGTCTGTGATGGCAGAGGTTACGTTTGATTTGAAGCAAAGAGATGAATCGAAACAGGCTGCTGAGCACGATTCCAAATATCCACAAGTCAATCATAACCACAGGCCAGCCAGAAGGAAAGAAATGGACGAGAAGAATTCACATTTTGAGCCGGACGTGCGGACTCTGATTTCTTCACCGAAATGGCTTCAGCTTCACGGACTGAAGAGAAACAAGCTGACCCTGTCTCAGATCCTGTCACACATTGGCTTTAAGCACAAAGAAGGTAAGCTTCATCGCAGGGTCACAGGAGAGATTCAGGTGAAGTGGGTGCCTTGAGTTAATTCATCTCACCGTTTGTTAAAACCGAGGCCCCATCTGCTGTTCAAATCGATATTCACCCACAAAATAGACAGTCACTGCACTTTACAGTGTATGCTGTGAAGCGCTTTGATACGATACAAGGACAAGGACATATCTAAGATCAAGGTCAATGTTGTTGTGAACATAAAATGGATTTGTTAATCTGTGAGTGAATTTGCAGCGAAAGGCTGAATATGCTAGGAAAAGATCTCTGACTCAAAATGATCGCACTGAATAGATATCCAAGATGCCAGTACCCCGGGCTTTTTGGCTGGGTTTGGAGGCTACTGTTAATCAAAAGAGGGGGGGAAGGGTGTATGTGATTTCATCAACAACAACTTGCATTTATATAGGCCTTCACACAAGACAGCGTCTCAGAGCGCTGCACTTCAAAACATATCTTAACGATTCAACAGTGCTTCCTTTTCTGCCCTGTTCTCTGGAGCTCCATCCCAGATTCCCTCTGGCTCGCTGTTTCCCTTTTTCAAGGTCCGTCTCGAGACCTACCTCTTTGACCATAATTTGGGTCATCTTTCCTCTCCCTACTCCCCTCGGCTCCCACCCCAGCTCGGGTTCCCAAGCCAGGACTGTTAAAAATTTGGGGGCATTCTCCTGATGTGAAAAACGCTATCTATATAAAGGTAAATTTTTATTGTATTGCACGATGCATAAAGAACGAAGTACGTATTTAGGAATAGTTGGATTTTGACTCCTCCCTGTGTTGTTACTGTTACACAGAATTAGTTAAACGTTTTCAGCAAGTAACCAATAAGCCTGTTACATTATAGATTATGTTTATGGACTACGGAAACCTATATCATCCTGTTATGGTGAAGGTTTGTTTCAACAATACGTGAGAAAAGATGGAAGAATTTACAATGTAAGTACTGTACTTGAATACACAGCCACTAGACCTTGCAGTAAATCTTGGGAAGCACTTTGACATATTTTGCTGTCGCGATAAGGCGCTGTATCAAATTCAGAGATTATTTTTTATTTTCGGAAGTTTGGACTATGACAAGAGGAGCAAAGGTGAAAGGGATATTAGAGTCAGAAGGTTGCGGGTGGGTTTAAGCCCCACATCAGGGCTTTGAACCCACGTAGTCTATCTAGGCTGACACTCCAGTGCAGTGCAAGGGATCTGCTGCATTGTTGGAGGTGCTGTCCATTTGGATGAGACATTAAACTCAGGTCACCTCTGCCTAGTCGGATGGACATTAAAGATCCAGTGCCATTATTCGAAAAGTCAGTGCCATTAAAGTCACTCAATGTTTCTGGGACATCGCTGTGATTACCATGTTCGCCTATAAAAGCCTATAGAAGTGAATGCTTGGAGATATTTACACATGATAAGGCGCCCTATCAATAACGCCATATTGCCCAAATTATTTCCTTAGTTTTAGCAGAAAGCACAGGATGGGTACATTTCTAATCTGGTGTCCCTCATCCCTCTGTTCCCCTCTCTGTGGCCATGCTTTGCCCCGAAATTGTGCCTTGTCCATCTTCCGATCTCACCTGAAGATCTTCCTCTTAGACCATGAGAGGTCACCTCTCCTCTCCATTCAGCTCGGTGTCAACCTCCACTGTTAAGTGCTCCAAGCCACTACCCCGTGTGAAGGGCGCTGTATAAATGCAAGTTGTTGTAATTTTGTTGTGTTGTTTGCACTTTCCTAGCTGACCGCCAGCAAGGAGCAGCTCCAGCAGTTTGCTGACTCCCTGAGCAGAGCAATAAGGCTCTACAGACAGCGGCTGGAGTGGTTGACAAGTGGGAGCCATCAACTGTTTGGTGTCATACAGGAACGTTGCATCGCCATTGTCATAGACTTCGCCCCTATGTCGCAGACAATGTTTCACCTCTGCTGTGATGCTCTCTGCACCGTTCTCCGGGAACAGGTGTCGCTCATCTCAAAGTGTAACCTCATTAGGTGAGATAAGGTCAGTTTTATTATTTGGCGAATGAGACGTCGAACCAAGATCCCATCCACCCATTCGTGTTAAAGACGTTAAAGATCCCGTTGCACTCTTTGAGCGACTGTTTGGATAAGACTCTTAAATCGATCCTGTGTTCTGTCTGCCTACATAATAAGCGACCTGAGTGAAATTTTGCTTTGCCTTGGGATGCTTCTGGACATTGTGAAGTTCTATAGCTTAGTGATTAGAGCACTCGCCTCGCAAGCGAGAGGGCCTGGGTTCGATTCCCGGGCAGGGCAAAATCTTAGGCAAGTTTCCTTACTCTACATGTCGCCTCTGTTTCTGAGCAGTAAGTAGGAACCCCGTTGTTAGTGATTGACGGATCGCTTTCCGAGCGTAATAATAACTTAAAAAAAAGATCACGACTGTTTGTGGGACACTGCAGTGAGCAATTGGCTGCTACGTATGGCCCACAAAATATACAGTCACATTACTTCTGTGAAGCGCTTTGAGACATCTCAAAAACATGATAAGGTGCCATATCAAATGCAAGGATTATTATTATTATTATCTGAACATGCTGATCCAGACCAAACCCTCGGTGGTCCGGTGACTAACCTGTGTTGCTAACAATCCGCAGGGCAGCTCAGGACATGGCGATGTGGCAAGAGAAAGCTGTTCCTGTCACCGCACAGACTATAGAGTCTGCGACTGAATGGATCTGGAATCTTTGCTACACGGCGGCTACAACCGAGACCAGTCCAGTCGAGGCTGTGGTACAAGCAATGAGTGACCAAACAGTGAGTCTTGTTGAGTTTCTGGTTCATTTTTACATCCTAAGTGGTACTGACCAACATTGGAAGCCAAGTCTGTAAAACAACAAGATTACATTTGTATAGCGCCTTTCACATCGAGAGGACGTCCCAAGGCGCTGGACAGAGTACAGCATTTCAGACCCGAGCTGGGGTCAGGGGGGGAGAAGGGAGGGGAGGGAGGGGGGTGGCTGATGGCATGGTCAAAGAGGAGGGTCTTGAAGTGGGACTTGAAGGAGGCTAAAGAGGGGGTCAGAGGCGGCTGAGCGGAGGAAGCGGGTTGGTAGGGGGTTAGGAGGTCGCAGAGGTAGGGTGAGGCCATGGAGGGCTTTGTATGTAAGACCAGAATCTTGAACTGGATCCTCTGAAGAATACAGAGTCAGTGGAGTCGAGTGAGAATGGGGGAGATAGAATCATGGAGTTTGGTGCGGGAGAGGACACGGGCTGCAGAGTTCTGGATTATCTGCAGCTGTGGAGGGAGGAGTTGGGAAGGCCCACAAGCAGGGCGTTTGCATAGTCGAGCCTGGAGGTGATGAAGGCATGAACGAGAGTTTCAGTGGCCTGAGGGGTTAGGCAGTGGCGGAGTCGGGTGATGTTACGGAGGTGATGGGAAGGCAGAGCGGGTCATGGCTTGAATGTGGGGGAGAAAAGACAGTTGAGGGTCGAACAAGACCCCCAGGTTCCTGACTGGCTGGTGAGTTGAAGTGTGCAACCATGGAGGTTGATGGTGCCAGAGCCTGAGGTGCTGAGGCGCTGGTGTGAGCCAATCAGGAGGGCCTCAGTCTTGTTCATTCAACTGTAGGAAGTTTGCCCTCATCCAGGACTTGATGTCCGACAGACAGTCTGTCAGGACAGCAGTGGTCCTGGAGTTGAAGGTGGAGGCAGAAAGATAGAGTTGGGTGAGATTCGCATAGATGTGGAAGTTGGCCCCATGTCTGCGGATGATGTCACCAAGGGGGAGCATAGAGATATTAAAGAGAGGGCCAAGGACAGAGCTCTGGGGGACACCAGACGTGACAGTGCGGGCGCTGGAGTAAAAATATAACTGTTGTATTTCAGTTTAATGTATTATCCTCTTGCTAAATCAGCAAAATATAAAAGGCAACAATGTAATTGATGATCTATTAGACTTTGGCCATATATTCATTATCATTTCTGTCCTAAAGACTTTACTCGCAATCTAGACTGACGCTCTAATGCAGTGCTGGGAGTGCTCTGCATTGTTGGAGGTGCCATCCTTCGGGTGAGATGGCAAAATGAGATCCAGTCTACCTGTTCAGGTAGACGATAAAGATCGATCCCATGGCACTATTCGAAAAAAGAGAAGGAGCTTCCTCGCGGTGTCCTGGCCAACAATCTCCCAGATTAAAATAAAAATTGTTCATTCACTTCATGGCTGCATGTGGGTCAATACTGTGTGCAAATTGGTTGCCACATTCGCCCACAAGTTACACAGTGATTACATGTTACAGTAAATTCTGTGAAGCTCTTTGAGACATTCTCCCAATGTGAAAGGTACGATATCAAATACAAGGATTATTATTATGTATTAGGGCTTTAGTTTGTAGGTCTAACAGTAATTGAGTAGGAAATATCTCTGCCCATATTGACTGACCCAGGCTGGCTGTGTCATCATTACTGCCCTGGAATACCCACCTGGCTCAGGAGCTGGACTACTGAGACTACCATAGAGGGTTGGCTCGATTCCGACATTCTGTTACCAAACATGTCACCTTGGAGCCAATTCAGCTCCAAGGAGATCTCGCAAACCTCCCCCTAAGGAGGATGGTCACCTGCTGGTCGTTTGGCTTCCAATACTCACAGGTTTATAATAATAATAATAATAATCCTTGCATTTGATATAGCGCTTTTCACGTTGGGAGGACGTCCCAAAGCGCTTCACAGAACACACTGTAAAGTGAATTGACTGTATATTTGTGGGCGAACGCGGCAGCCAATTGCGCACAACAATGTCCCACAAACAGTCGTAGATTGAAAATGACCAATTTATTATTGTTTTTGGTTTTGGAGGGATTATTATTAGGCTCTGTGTGGAGTAAGGAAACTTGCCCAAGGTTTCGCCCTCTGCCTGGGATTGAACTCAGGTCTCTCACTTGCAAAACGAGTGCTCTAACCACTGAGCTGCAGGACTCCACAGTGAGATAGTCTGATATTAACAGTGAGACACATCTATATAGTCTGATATTAACAGTGACACCTCTATATAGTCTGATATTAACAGTGAGCACCTCTATATAGCCTGATATTAACAGTGAGCACCTCTACATAGTCTGATATTAACAGTGACACCTCTATATAGTCTGATATTAACAGTGATAACCTCTATATAGTCTGATATTAATAGTGAGAACCTCTATATAGTCTGATATTAACAGTGAGAACCATTATATAGTCTGATATTAACAGTGAGAACCTCTATATAGTCTGATATTAACAGTGAGCACCTCTATATAGTCTGATATTAACAGTGAGCACCTCTATATAGTCTGATATTAACAGTGAGCACCTCTATATAGTCTGATATTAACCGTGAGAACCTCTATATACAACAACAACAACAACAAGATTCCATTTATAAAGCGCCTTTCACGTCAGGAGGACGTCGAAATGGTCAGATGGTCAGGGTGAGAAGAGAATATAGTCTGATATTAACAGTGAGAACCTCTATATAGTCTGATAATGCGGGTGAAGTTGCTTTGAGAATTAGACACTTTAACCCAAGATGCCAAACGATTGGTGTTTCCAAAAACTCAGCATCCTGTAGGAATCGGCAAACCAGGAATTGGTTAATTTTCACAGAAAGTAATACACAACTGGAAAGGATTATTTTGGTTGATGCCAGGACACCGAGAATCATTTAAACAGCAGCTTGATGATGAATAAGAACATGGTAGGAACACAGTGTGCCTCTATCTGCAAGATGTGCTGTTACACCAAGCAGAGGAAAGGAGTTAACAAGGTTGATGTCAAAATGTCTTCAGGGGTCATTATTGCTTGCTTTTTCTCCCTCTCACATCTGACCAGAGCTTTGGGTTCACATCACTATAACAAAGAGGTAGAGGAAGAAACTCTTCAAGAATACAAAATAAACACAAACATTTCCATCACACCACAGAGAGTATACGAGTTGGGTCTGATTTCGCTATAGGTGCTGAAAAGGGAAGGGAACTAAACAAATAGTTTGAGAATGTATCACACAAGATACCCTGTAGCTCAGTGGTTAGAGCACTCGCCTCGCAAGCGAGAGACCTCGGTTCGATTCCTGGCAGGGCAAAACCTTGGGTAAGTTTTCTTACTCTATACACCTGATAATAATCCCTCAAGAAAAAAACAAAACAATAATAAATTGGTCACTTCAATCCATGACTATTTGTGGGACACTGCTGTGCGCAATTGGCTGCCGCGTTTTGCCCACAAATATAAAGTCAATTCGCTTTACAGTATATTCTGTGAAGCGCTTTGAGACGTCTAGAAGACGTGAAAAGCGCTATATCAAATGCAAGGATTATTATTATAGATGTGAGCAAGTGAGGTTCCTTCTCCTATTTAATATTGTTGAATGTTTCTGGTGTTGCAGATCGAAGCAGTGTACTTCTTCGCTACCGGGGATGGTCCTGCTGGAATGAGGGAGATTTTGCATCAGAAGCTGGCAGACAGTCCTTGCCCAGTCCATACAGTGTCGTTCAATGCAAAAAAAGAAACGACAATTCAGTTTCTGAAAGAATTAGCTCACTTGACTGCAGGAAGGTAAGTTGCCAAGAGGACTGAGCACAATGGATCCTGGTCCAATCTCTAGTCTTTGTTTGAAGAACATAAGAAAAGTTGGGAAGGGAAAAGATAATTTGGCATCGCCGTACATCAACTGTCCCAGCGTACATTATCCCATCATAATAATAGTAATAATAATCCTTGCATTGATATAGTGCCTTATCACGTCTTCAATACATCTCAAAGTGCTTCACAGGATATACTGTAAAGTGAATTTACTGTATATTTTGTGGGCGAATCGTAGCATGGAACTGCTGGTTTCAGCCCATCTCCAACAATGTAGCACACTCCCAGCACTGTATTTGGAGTTTCAGCCTAGACTGTGAGTTGAAAGTCCTGACTTGTGGCTTGTATCCATCACCTTCTGACTCAGACACAAGTGACACCTTGCCATCCTTGATGCTGCAGTTATTCTAACATTTTCTTGGGGTGGATTTGTTTTTCACTTTTGTTGCATCAGCGACCAGGCCTTCAGTCTCTCTGCCCCCATCCTTTGGAACTCCATCCCACAGGCCCTTCGCTTTGCTCACTCCCTTGTCTGCTTCAAGGTACGTCTCAAGACTCCTCTTCGACCACACCTTTGGTCACCCTCCTACCCCTGCCCTCCGCCCCTCCTGATCCAAACCCCCAGCTCGGGTCCAATTCCCTGATTGTCCAGCGCCTTGAGATATCCTCCCGACCTGAGAGGTGCTATACAAATGTAATTTGTTGTTGTTGTTGATCATCCTTAATGTTTCTTTCCAGATTTCATGCGTTTGCTTTAATGAACGAATATAATGAAGAGGGAACCATTTCCATCAATGACTCGAACAAGGTCGACAGCCCAGCTCCACATACCCACAGGAAGCTTATAGGAGGTTTGCCCCCAGGTCAGTATTCCAGGGGATTAACAAGAGACTGCAATTGTGCCTTCTAACTCAGGCATTACGTGGTTTGCATGTAGGTATCATTTGTCCACCAAATGTATCCTTTGTTCCACAAATCTAATTTGTTGTTGTTGTTATGTGACGTGGCTTGAACCCGTAAGTGATGAAGTGATTCTGCACAATGGCAGGGTTGGACATTGAGCAAAGGAGAGCGTGGTGAGGGTAGGGGAGATGATTATGGGCGCAGCCGAAGAGGTAATTCTTAAGAAGAGGGATTGAAAGAAATATACAGAAATATAGAGGGATTGAGACAGCACGTTCCAGAGGTGAGGGTCAGCATGACTGAAGGTACGGCCACTGATGGTGGCGCGGAGGGCACATGCAGCAGCCTTGTGTCCGCTGAGAAAAGGGGGCGAGGAGTGGAGTGATGTACGAGAGGGTCACAGGGAAGGGAGGTGCCGGGGCATGAAGGGATTTGTGGGTGAGGGCGAGTAAATTGAAATCAATCCTTTCATAGACAGGGAGTCGGTAAAACCCGGCGAGGTGGTGACGGGGTGGGGTTTAGTTCGGGTGAGGATGTGAGAAGGGGAATTTTGTGTACGTTCGAGCTTGTGGATGGTGAAACTGGGGAGCTCAGCAGGGAGTATAATTCGACATTAATCTAATAAATGCAACTCACAGGGAATTTTTGTTCCCTCTCCCTCATCAGGGGCCGGAGTCAGAGAAGATGTGTTTCTGATCTGGTGTGAGATCGAAGAAGCCAGAAACACGCTGACTGAGGTGCAGACTCTGATCATGGAAGTCCCTCAACCTACACGTCACGCAGGTACCGAACACGCTTCGGTCATTTACTTCTTACAGTTGCACAGAGTAAACGCACAGGGTTTTGAAGGCCTCGTTTGCAACATTACGAAGCATTATCACAAAGAGACAATTTTAATAATAAAGCTAATCCTTGCATTTGATGTAGCACCTTATCAAGTCTTCGAGGTATCTCAAAGCGCTTCACAGAATATATTGTGTATTTTGTGGGTGAAACGCGGCAGCCAGTTTGTCCCACAAACGGCCATGGAGAGAGTGACCTATTTTATTTAGGGGATTTGTTGGTCAGGACACTGGGAGAAACTCCTGGATCCACATTTGTTGCACCTTTGGCCATTGCTGCTCCTTTACCCCAGTGGTTGCTTTGTTCCTCTTCCTTTACCCACTTACTCGTTAAACACACTCCACGTCCTTCATTAATTGTTACCTTCCCCACCCACCCACAACCCATCAAATATTTGACACAGCTTCTTTCACGTCAGAAGGACGTCTCAAAGCGCTTCACGTGATTTACTGTGAAGTGTAGTGACTGTATATATTGTAGGCGAACATACATTCGCACCCACAGAATTTCCAGTCGTCTGAAGAACAGAACAATTTGGGTGGGTCACGTACTACAGTAACAACTATTAAATTTAAAAACAGTGCCCCACGCAGACCTTAACGCAAGCGTGGAATGAATAACAATAATAATATCATCCTTACATTAGATATAATAATAAACAGCAACAACAAATTACACTTGTATAGCGCCCTTCACATCGGAAAGACGTCCCAGGGCACTGGACAGTCAGGGCTTTTTTGGACCCGAGCTGGGAGATGGGGTCAGGAGGCATGGAGGGCAGGGGGGCATTGGGGGTGGGAGGGTGACCAAAGGCATGGTCGAAGAGGAAGGTCTTTAGATGGGACCTGAAGGAGACATGAGAGGGGGTGAGGTGGAGGGGTTGCGGGTTAGAGTTTCAGACTGTGGGAGCAGAGAAGCTGAATGCCCGGCCACATTCAGGAAATGAATGAATGAATGAACATGGGGCGGGAAGTGCTGGGGACCTGAAGGAGCCCGATGTGTCCATTGAGTGAGGGAGTGGACGGGCTGATATGGGGTTATGAGGTCAGAGAGGTAGTGGGGAGCAAGACTGTGGAGGGCCTTGAAGGTAAGAACGAGGGCTTTGTTCTTGATTCTCTGAGGGATGAGGAGCCAGTGAATCCGGGCAAGAACAGGGGTGATTGGATGAACCTTGCTTTTGATATAGCACCTTATCATGTTGTTGAGATGTCTCCAAGATCTTCACAGAATATAACTGTCAAGCTAATTGACTGTGTATTTTGTGGGCGAATTGCGGTAGCCAATTACGCACAGCAGCGTCCCACAATCGGCCATGGAGGTTAATTTAAAGTTAAAGATTGAGTAACATACATTGGAAAGACATCTCAAAGCGCTTCACAGGACACGCTGCAAAGTGCAGTGACTGCGTAGGTAAAATAGAAATGAATGGGTAAAGAAACAAAGGCTGACGTGCACTTAGTTCAGAGAGCCTACGGTGTCATTGCTGGATCACGACACTTGTTCCCATTTTGTGCAGACACTGCGTGTCTGACTCTTAAATAAAACGAGAGGTTGTAATCCCATGGTGTTAATCAGAATCGGTTGCTTTGTGTTCCTTGGCAGAGAATCCTCGCCCCGCATATAAAAATGTTTCTTTTTCATCTAGAATGCATGAGTGAACAGCGCAATGATAGATATTTGGTTAAATGGACTCAGAAGTACATATTTGCAGAACCGATCGATTTCAGGATCCTCACACTCATCCAAGATTGCTTGACAGATATCATAGTAGGCAATGAGCAGAAAAATAGGATTTAAAGGATGACCAAGGACGCAATTGAAGAAATATGTTTTCAGGAGATTTTTGGAGGCAAGAGGGAGTGAGTTATTCCACAAGGGGAAGTCTTTTGGAAAAAACGTTCCAGAGGACAGGGCCAGGGTGAATGAAGGTTTGGCCATGAATGGTGGAGCTGAGGGACTGGGGAATGAACAATAGATTGGAGCTGGAAGAGTGGAGGGCAAGGGCAGTAACGTAGGGCTGGAGAAGATAGCAACAACAACCACAACAAAATGACATTTGTATAGTGCCTTTCACGCCGGGAGGACATCCCAAGGCACTGGATAGACAGAGATACCGCCCCGAGCTGATGGTCAGGGTGGGGGAGGGTGGCGGGCAGAGGGGGAAGTAGGGAGATCGAAAACACGGTCGAAGAGGAGGGTCTTGAGGTGGGTCTTGAAGTTGGCGAGGAAGGGGACGAGGCGGAGGGACTGCAGGATGGAGTTCCAGAGGGTGGGCGCAGAGTGGTGGAAGGCCCGCCCACTGATAGTGGGGCGAGCAAGGCAGGGTTATGAAGCAGGCTGGAGCCCACTGAGCGGAGGGAGCACCCTGGGTGGTAGGGGTTTTGGAGGTTGGAGAGGTAGGGGGGAGCAAGACTGTTGAGGGCTTTGAAGGTGAGGACCAGGATCTTGGACTGTATCCTCTGTGTGATGGGAAGCCAGTGGAGTTGGGCAAGGATGGGGGTGATAGGGTAAAGGAGCCTAGTGCGGGAGAGGACGCGGGCTGCAGAGTTCTGGATGATCTGCAGCCTGTGGAGGAAGGATTTGGGGAGGCCGACAATCAGTGAGTTTGCATAGTCGAGCCTTGATGTAATGAAGGCATGTATCAGGGTATCAGTGGCTTGCATAGGTAGGGTAGGATGGGGTGGGATCATTTAAGGAATTGAAGATGGGGCAAAGGTCTTAAAGTTGTCTGGGCTAGTAGGAGGCATTGGAGCTTGGTGGAGTTCTGTAGTGTAGTGGTTAGAGTACTCGCCTTGCAAGCCAGAGGACACAATTTTGATTCCCTGGTGACCTTAGGCAACTTTCCTTACTCCACATGCCTGTTTCCCTAGCAGTAAGTAGGAATTGGGGTATTAAGGTAATAATCTCTCTCAAAATAATAATAATAATAATTTGGTCGCAACTGTTTTTGGGGCACTGCTGTGTGCAATTGACTGCTACATTTTTGCCCATAAATTACACTTTACAATATATGCTGTGAAGTACTTTGACTGGTCTCATTGATATAACGGCACTATTTCAAATGCAAGGATTATTAATTTTATTATTAATATTATATTGGTAATGATGATTAAGGATGATGTATGATTTTTAAAAATGTATTCTTCCTTTAAACTCTGTGCCCTTTTCTTTATTTACTTGCCTTTTCTGTGTTAAAACAGTTACAGTCGATAAGCCAATGCCACGGCCCAAAACAGAGGACTATATAAGTTCCAAGAAATGGCTTGAAAAGTATGGATTGAAAGTCCGCAAACTAACCTGGTCCGACGCCCTGGCAGACTGTGCCTTTCGCCACACTGATGCTGTGGTGGACGTGAAAGGGAAACCGGCTAATGAGAACATTCAGACCGACGCAGTAAGTCAATTTTATTAAAAGTCTACCAATAACACTAATAATTACGGCACCTTAACACATCGGTGAGGATTTACTGTGAATTATTGTAGGTATACTTACACAGCAGTCAATTAATGCACAATTTAGAATGTTTAGAACTAATGACCAGAAACTCAGATCATTATTTGTCAGTGATGGATAAATATTGATGTTAAATTAACCTTCCCTCAACTCAACGTACAGATTTTTTTTCCCCCTGTGAAAACGCTTCACACACTTGACTGGAAGCTCAAGCTGGGGGTGTGGTAGAGGCTGAAATATATTAATTGTAAATGCGAAAAGCATTTCTTTTTCATAAAATATTGTGTGTTAAGTGTTGCAAGTCACACAGAATCAATCGTGTATTTCAACAATTTCCACATTTGTGATAACTATATCTACAGCAGCCCCTAGTGATCCTAATAAAACACTGTTGAAGGATAAATTGCGATGTTTAATGGAATTGATTACAAAATAAACAGACACTACACTTCACGGTAAAATTGTGTGAAGTGCTTTGAGACGTCTCGCCGATGTGATAAGGCACTATATCAATTGCAAGGATTCTGCTTCTTATCCTTCTTATATTTATCCGTACACGGCCAGGACATTTTCTTCAGATTACACAAAATTAAGCTTTGAAAACATTTCTCTGAATATTTATAAAAATGCCAACGGTGCACTCAGTGCTCGTCTATGAGCTTCAAAGTCTCGATGCGAGGGCACATTTGAGGGCACCCAAAACCATTTGACTCAGAAACAACAATAACAACGGCAAATTACATTTGTACAGCGCCTTTCACATCAGGAGATTGTCCCGAGGCGATGACAGAGAAGAGGGTGCTACCAACTAAACCAGGCTGACACCTTCTTCTAAGTCTTTCTATTGGGAACAGAAGATGGACAAATTGACCTCACTACTCAGATGATGCCTTGATTATAGATTTATTGTAAAATCTCGCCTATTAACAGGAAACCAACATGAAACTGGTCAACGCCAAGTACTGTGACCGGTTTGCCCATACTCAGTGGAAAGATGGTTCTATTGTGCACGTGTACATTACACCTGAGAAATGCAAGCAGTACCAGCAAAGAATGAAGATTGCCCTGGACCAGATGCGTAGGAGGTAAGATTGAAACCCAACGCAGTTGTTTTTGAAAGATGCACAAAGATTTGAGGGACGGGAGGTCAGTGAATGACAATCGTGAGGCAGGACCATACCAAGAATCAACTTAACACAATAAATTGGCTGGAAGGCTAGTTGACTTAACCAGATCAACAATTCTATGCCATATGGAGCCCTGTAGAGTGTTGGTTAAAAACTAGCCTCACAAGTGAGAGAACCTGGGTTCCATTCCCTGGGCGAAACATTACATAAGTTTCCTTACACTACACACCTCTGATTACCTAGCAGTACGTGTGAACCTGGTTATTAGTCGATTAGCGGATCGCTTTCCAGGGGTAATAATCGCTTCAAAAGAAGTAAATAAGTAATAATTTCATGGTCTTGCTCACCCTACCTCTGCGACCTCCTAACCCCTTACCATCCTGTTTGCTCCCTCTGCTCAGTGGGCTCCAGCCTGCTTCACGTCCCCCACCTCGCTCACCTCACTATTGGTGGGTGGGCCTTCTGTCACTCTGCCCCCACCCTCTGGAACTCCATCCCACAGTCCTTCTGTCTCGCCCCCTCTCTCGCCACCTTCAAGACCTATCTCAAGACCCTCCTCTTCGACTGTGCTTTCGATCTCCCTGCTTCACCCCCTTCCCTCCACCCTCTCCCACCCCGACCCCCAGCCGGGTCCGTAACTCTGTCTGTCCAGTGCCTTGGGACATCCTCCCAACATGAAAGGTGCTTTACAAATGTCATGTTTTTGTTGTTGTAATTTCGGTCACTCAATCCATGGCTGTTTGTGGGACACTACTGTGCACAATTGGCTGCAGTGTTTCGCCCACAAAATATATAGTCAATTCATTTTACAGTATAGTCTGTGAAGTGCTTTGATAAGTCTTGAAGATGTGTTAAGGTGCTATATCAAATGCAAGCAATGTTATGATAAATTGCTGTCTTATGCTGTTTTTGGCAGGTACTGTGCTTTTCAGGACTCAGTGATCGATTTGCTGTGAAAAGCACAGTTTGAAGACTGCATCAGATACTGGAATTTATTCTGATTCATAAGGTTGCAGTCAAACATGCTGAAATATTTCCTTGCTTTTATTGTCACAGAATTGACTGGCTGCAGCAAGGAAGCAGAGAACTGTTTGGGACTGTGATTGAAGATGAGATCTATATCCTGATTGACATCTCTCAGTCCATGATCGATAAGCTGCAGTTGGTTAAGGAAAAGATATTTCAACTCATGCAGGTTTGTCACTGTGCAAAATTGATATTTTCTTAACTCTTATTTTTCTATTACATCCCTCGATCCCTCCGCTCCACCATTGGCAGCTGTGCTTTCAGCCACTATGCTCTGAACCTCTGCATCTCCCTATCTCAATCCCTCTGCCTCACCCCCTCTTTGCCCTCTTCAAATTACACCTGAATTTATTTCTATTTCAACCGTGCCTACAGTCACCTCCCCTGTCTCCCCAGCACGGCATCAAACTATGTCAGCGTTGAATACTACCTTGTGTGAAGAGAACTATACAAATCAATATAAACTATGCAGAAAGAGCGGAAGAGTAAGATAAGTTGCATAACTCTTTCAAAGAACCGGCAAAGGCACGATGGACTGAATGGCTGCCTTTTGAGCTGTAGGATTCTATGACATATATTTCTACACTTAAGGTGATATGAATTCACTTGATATTATGTATTATATCTTGTACTTAAAGCAATATTTACTTGATCCAGGAACAGCTGAGACACAAGATCAAATTCAACTTTGTGAGGTTTGGCTCCAGAGCTATGTCTTGGCAGGACAAGTTGGCAGAAGTCAATGAAAACAACCTGGAAAATGCCTGGGCCTGGGTTAAACGACTTCAGGTAAAAGATTTGAATTCTTTTTGATAGGAATACAATAGTCGACTGTGTTGTGAAGTGGCAGCCAATTGCGCACAGCAGTGTCTCGCAAACAGTCGTGGATTGAGTGACCAAATTATTACTATTACCCCGGAAGCGGTCCGCCAATTGATTAACAACCACAACTTGCATTTATATAGCGCTCCTCATGTAGGAGAGCATCCCAGAGCACTTAACAACCACCTAACAACCGGGTTCCTACTTACTGCTAGGTAAACAGAGGCGTGTGGAATAAGGAAACTTGCCTCAGTTTCACCCCACCCAGGAATGGAACCCAGGTCCTCTTGCTTTGAGGCGAGTGCTCTAACCAACGTGTTACAGGACTCCACAACTACAGGTTAACCATAAATTGTCTGCATAATTCTGAGGAGTTTGGGTTAAGGTAGATGCTTTGCTTTGTAGGTCGGGGGATCAACAAACACACTGGGAGCCATACGCCTAGCCCTTGCTGACGCTGATACTCAAGCTATCTACCTCCTGACTGATGGAAGACCTGATCAGGTACAGTGCTATATGTAAGAAATATGACACTGTTACAAACTCGGTGTATCAACCGGGCTCAATTGGTAGCATTCTCGCCTCTCAGTCAGAAGGTTGATGGTTCAAGTCCCACATTGGGAATAGTCTGTGATGACTCTTCAATGCAGTGCTGGGCGAACGCTGTATTGTTAGAGGTGCTGTTCTTTGGATGCAATGTTAAACTGAGGTCCTTTTTGGCTGTTCAGGTGGATGTTAAAGATCCTGTGACACTATTCGAAAAGAGAAGCGAGTTGGTCAGGTCAGGTGTCCTGACCAACAATCCTCCAATTAAAATTGATCACTCACAACTATTTGTGGCACTTTCTAGTGTGAAAAATTGGCTCCTGCAGTTGCCTGGAATACAGTCAGTATAGTTTGCGGTGAAATCCTGTAAAGCGCTTTGGGATGTTACAATGACATGATAAGGCGTATATCAAATACATGGATTATTATATTATAATATTAATAATCCTTGTATTTGATATAGCACTTTTCATGTCTTCGAGACATCTCAAAGCGCTTCACAGAATATACTGTAAAGTAAATTGACTGTATATTTGTGGGCGAAACACGGCAGCCAATTGCGCACAGCAGTGTCCAACAAATAGTCATGGATTGAAGTGACCAATTTATTTTATTTTTTTTCTGGAGGGAATATTATCAGGCGTGTGGAGTAAGGAAACTTGCCCAAGGTTTCGCCCTGCCGGGACACTCACTTGCGAGGTGAGTGCTCTAACCACTGAGCTACAGGACTCCACTCATTATCTTCCGTAGCTTATTGATATTTGACCTCCGGAGACTGGCGCATTGGTTACAATAATGGTTGTGTCTTATCTGTTTGAAATCGTGAAGTGCTGTAGCTCAGTAGTTAGAGCACTTGCTTTGCAAGCGAGACACCTGGGCTCAATTCCAGGCAGGGCGAAACCTTGGGCAACTTTCCTTACTCCACACACCTAATAATAATCCCTCCAAAACAAAACAATAATAAATTGGTCATTTTCAATCCATGACTGTCTGTGGGACACTGCTGTGTGTAATTGGCTGCCGCGTTTCGCTCACAAATATACAGTCAATTCACTTTACAGCATATTCTGTGAAGCGCTTTGAGATGTCGAGAAGACGTGAAAAGCGCTATATCAAATGCAAGGATTATTATTATTATAATCATAAGATTGAAAATTCTCCTCTTATTCTAACACTTTTGCTCCAAGTTTCTTGTGATCCGTTAGAGTAGCATTGCAATTAAGGGTTAATTTCACCCACAAAATATACAGTGAATTCATTTTACGGTATATCCCGTGGAGCGCTTTGAGACGTCTCGAAGATGTGATAAGGCGCTATACCTAATGCAAGGATTCTTCTTCTTAATAATGTTGTGTATATCATCCAAAACAGCCTCCAAACAGCATTTTTGCTCAGGTGCAGCTCATCCAACTGGTCCCAATTCACACCATCGCCTTTAACTGCGAGGATGCGGAGGCCAACAGGTTTCTGTATGAGCTCTCCAAGAAGACACGTGGACGCTTCCATTCCTACAACAGTGACGTGAGCGAGTCCAGTGATATTCCGCCGTTTGTGGTAAGAAATCTCCGGTGCGGGAACAAACCATTGTACGGATAGAATCAAACACAAGGCGACTGATGTGTGTGGCTGCTGTTTAGATAAGTGAACCATTTGGCCAATTGAGCCCTGTGCAAGTACAGTGAACGGACAAACAATTCAATCTGTTAAATGGCTCACAAGTATCCAGGTCTTGCTACTTGTATCAGCCTGGTTCAGCTGGTAGCACTCTCACCTCTCATGTCATAAAGTTGTGAGTTCACACCCCACGATGAGACATTGACCTCAAGGTCTAGGCTGTTACTCCAGTCAGTACTGGGGGGGTGTTGCATTACAGGAGGTGCTGCCCTTTGGAGCAGACATTGAACTGAATCCCCATCTGCCTGTTCAGATGGACTTTAAAGGTCCCATGGCACTATTCAAAAAGATAAGGGAGTTTCTCCAGTGTCCTGACCAACAATCCTTCAGATAAAATTGGTCAGTCACTTTATGGCTCTTTGAGAGACACTATGCAAAATTGTCTGTCTTCAAATGCACAGTCACTACACTACACTTCACAGTAAAATCACACCACAGAAGTTTTGATGATGGGATAAGGATATGTCAAGTGCAAGGATTATTATAACTTGAGCATCAGTCAGTAGTGATACTACATCGATACAGGCACTACCTGCCATGAAGGGCGCTATATAAATGCTGTAGTGTGTTGGGTATAAACAAACCCAGCGTCAAACACCCAGTGGGGGCACTTACATTGCTGCTATTGTTTTCCTTATATCTTAATAAATGGGTGTAGAAATTGCTAAATACAATAATTATCATTCACAAGCACAGATACACGGAGGAGAAGGAAGTCTGTTAATCACTTGGATTCTTCATTAATGGAATTAATAAGAAATTATCGCAGTTTAGACTTTAATTGTAACTTGTGGCACTTCATTAAGTCTTTTTTAGTTTAAAATCTCCAGCATCTCCTCCTCCTGCCACAGTGAAGCTGTGATATTTTCTTTCAGAAGTAATTAAGCTTCCATTTCCTTTCATCAATTGCATCCTTTTTCCATTAATCAGAGCGAAGACATCGGTCTTTTGAGAAGCGAAATGGAACAAGGGAGGAATGATTTGGAGAGAGTTGAGAAACTTCATGCAGAATGTGTGCTGCTAGACTGGTACCACAGCAGCAAAGGCAAGGAAGCAAGGAACAGGTTCGTGTATTTCCTAAGCTCTGGTTTTTACAGTCATACACCTATTGGGGAACATTATTATTATTATTATTAAACTGCTGTGCGCAATCGGCTGCTGCGTTTCGCCCACAAAACATCCATTTATTTCACTACAGTATATTTTGTGAAGTGCTTTTAGATGCCTGATGATGGGATGAGGCACTATATCAAATGCAATAATTATTATTATTATGACGTTCATGTTAGTCTTCATCAACACTCACAAAACTATTAAAAGGTTAATTGGTAACACTGTCACCTGTGAGTCAGCAGTTTGTGGGTTCGAGCCCCATGTTGGGACTTTGAACTCACCCAGGCTGATGCTCTGATACTGTACTGGGGGATGTGCTGCATTGCGAGAGGTGCCATGATTTGGTTGAGATGTTATATGTCCTGTGCCATACTCGCAAAGAGTGGTGAGTTTCCCCTGTGTCCCGGCCAACAATCCCTGAGATAAAATTGGCCGCTCACTTGGCTGCTCATGGGATATTATTGTGTGTAAATTGGCTGCCAATTTCGTCAACAAATACACAATCTAACCTTTACAGAAGAAGCATCTCGACAATGTGATAAGCTGCTATATTAAAGGCAAGGATTATTGTCATTGTTATTAATACTTAGCTAACAAAAATGCCACTTCAATGGCTCATAAATTCCATGTTGGCTCCACAATGATTTATAGATATAATCGTCTTTATTTTCTCTTGTTTCCATGTCTACAGTGGGGCTGGCGAAGTTCTGACCAGTTGCCAGCCACGCGCTCAGAGTGCCTCCAGAGCTCAGGTCAAAGCTTTAGATAACAATGTCCACATGAGACCCAGGTCAGCTCTGGATTGGATCTCAGCCACCCACAGGAACCATAGGGACAGGTCCCACACATACAGTCTGAACGACGCCAAAAACTCAAAGCAGCTCCAGAGAAAGAAAGCACTGTATGCAGGTAAGGGAAGCGAGCCGTGTGCTCAGCAGACTCAGTGTTTTGTTGTGTTTGTGTCCATGATAACTTGCTCTGGGACTTTAGCCCTAAAATTGGGAATGTTAATTATCAGTGATCAATAATCCTTGCATTTGCATTTGATATAGCACCTTATCACGTCTTCGAGATGTCTTAAACCACTTGACAGACTTTACTGTAAAGTGAACTGACTGTATATTTTGTGGGGCAGCAGTGTTCACCAACAGTCTTTATTTATTGATTGATTGATTGATTTATTGATTGATATTTTAAAGGGATTGTTACTCATGGAAAAGCGATCCGCCAATCGACTAACAACTGGGTTCCCACTTACTGCTCGGTAAACAGAGGCGTACGGAGTAAGGAAAGTTGCCCAACAGTTTGCTATGCCCAGGAATCGAACCCAGGTCCTCTCGCTTGCGAGGCGAGTGCTCTAACCACTGAGCTACAGGACTCAACAGTAGCTCTATGATCAGCAGACTCACTGCTTTGTTGTGTTTGTGTCTGTAGGAGGGTGTGGCTCGCTCTCGGAAAACAAAACTTGCACAGCGGTTTTAACAATGGAAAGAAAGGTTTAATTTAAAAAGGAAACTCTACCTTTTTACATCCGTGTTCTCCAGACTTCCTTTACTTCCCACTTGTGGAGTCCTGAAACTTAGTGGTTAGATCACTCACTTCACACGTGAGAGGACCTGGGTTTTATTCCCGGGCTGGGAGAAATGTTGAGCAAGTTTCCTTACTCCGCACGCCTCTGTTTACTGAGCAATAATCAGGAACCCGGTTGTTAGTCAATTGGCGGATCGCTTTTCCAGGGGTAATAAGCTCTTAAAAATAATTTGGTCATTCAATCCACGACTGTTTGAGGGGCACTGCTGTGTGCAATTAGCTGCCACACTTTACCCACACAATATACAGTGAATTCACTTTAAAGTCTATTCTGTGAAGCGCTTCGAGAAGTCCAGAAGACGTGACAAGCGCTATATCAAACGCAAGGATTATTATTATTAGTAGTCGTACAAGTATTCAGACTCTCAGCTCATGGCTTTTTCCAAGGGTTTCTTAATAAGAATCCCATTTAGAATTTTTATTTATGTAAATTTATAAAGGTTGATCGGAACATCTGTGCTGCATTGAGATGTTAAACCAAGGTCCCGTCTGCCTGTCTGGGTGGATGTTAAAGATCCCATGGCACTATTTGAAGAGATAAAGGAATATCTCACTGTGTTCCAGCAACTACTCCCCAAATAAAATTGATCATGACTGTTTATGAGACATTGCTGTGTGCAAATTGGCTATCACATTCACCCAATATACACACAGTCACACTTTACACAATATCCCGTGAAGCACTTGCGATGTTTGATGACGTGAGAAGATGTTACATCAAATGCGAGCATTTTTTTATAAATTTTGACTATTTGTTCGAAACATAATGAATGAACAAAATATGTTCTCTCTGTGACTTTACATTGAAAGTGTCCAGTTCCTATATAGTTAATTGCATAAACGAAAAACGTAGTTTTAGTAATTTTTACTTTTTAAAAAAATATTATTATTAGGATGGAAATATTTAACGTTTCACAAATTCTTATCCTATTTTCAGTCCCGCCGTGATCTGGACCTAACCCCACCCCCCCCCCACATTTCTGCGAACTCCCTTACTGACCCAGCTCTCTGCTCAGCGAAACTGACCTACTTCATGTCCCCCGCTGTATCTGTCCCACCATCGGAGGGCAAGCTTTCAGCCATTCTGACCCTGTTCTCTGGAACTCCTTCCCGGAGTCCTTTGCCTTGCCCTCTCCCTCCCCATTTGTAAAGCCTGCCTAAAGTCCTACCTAGTTGATTGTGTTTCCCCTTATCTTTATCCCCTCCCCTCCCTCTCTTCAGCTCTGCCCATCCCTTCTCCCCCAAATCTAAGGCCCCAGTTACCTGTGTGAAGCTCTTTCAGATTCAACAGCATTGAAGGGCGCTATATAAATGCAAGTTGTTGCTGTTATTGTTGACATGTCCTCCCCACACGAAAGTTTCTACATGAATGTAAATTACATTGCGTTGTATTGTGTTGTACAATAAACACAAAAGGATCAGTATATTTTTCATTAGTTTGCTTCAAAAGCTCAGAACATAGATGGTCTCAGAGGCTCAAAATTTCTTGATTCTTTGAGATCCTTGGACATGTTACAGAGACAGAGACAGTATAACGACTGATTTGTTCCTACTTACAGCTCACACTAAGACCAGTCTACTCCGCACTTTGAGTCATGCCAGTAAAATTGGTGAGAACCTAACGGGCAGGTGGATGCTTCCGGAAAACAAGGAGATGTTTCTGGATAACTATAGGAAGGAATTGCAAGTGCTGAACGGTGAGTTAAACAAGTAGGATTTTCTGGTACGTTACTAGTTGGGGGAATAGACTAGTAAAATGCTTTCGGATGTTTATTTCTGCAGTTGAATACAATACAATATAAATTTCCAATTAGACAGCGCCATTCACATCAGGAGGACATCCCAAGACACTTAACAATCCTGGCTTGGCATCCAAGCTGGGGTGGCAGCCAAGGGGGGTGGAGAGGGGAAAGATCACCAAAGGCAGAGTCAAAGCAGTAGGTCTTGAGATGAACCTTGAAAGAGGGAGGGAGGGTGCGAGTTGGAAGGACTATAGAGACCAAATTGTGCAAGAGAGCTGAAACTTCTCCAGCTGTTAATTTCGTAGCAGTTTGCCGGATAGTAATGCAAATTCTGGGGTCCCCGAGCCTTGGCTGTTGCCAGCCTGCGCCTGAAATTCTCTAGAATTAGACAAGCAGGGTGCATCCCTCCAGGGGGAGAGTGTGCACATTCCGTTTCAGACACAGGGAAATTTCCACAAGTAGGTGGGATACGTGTGGAGTCCAGTAACTTAGTGGTTAGAGCACTCGTCTCGCAAACGAGAGGACCTAGGTTTGATTCCTGGGCGGGGCGAAACCATGGCAAGTTTCCTCACTCCACGTGCCTCTGTTTACCTAGCAGTAAGTAGGAACCCAATTGATTAGCGGATCACTTTCTGTGGGTAATAATCTCTTTTAAAACAATGTGTTTACTCAATGTGTGTAGAATTGGCTGCAGTGGTTCTCTCACAAAATACACAGTAGGTTCAGTTTACAGTACACTCTGTGAAGCACTTTGACATGTCTCAATGAAATTATAAATACAAGAATTAATATTATTATATTATAAAACACAGATGCTTGTTTCATTTGTTTTCTTTAAAGCCTTCAGTTTGCCGGAGAGCAAAACTTCCGAAACAAAGGCAAAACGTCACACTAAAAGGTAAGAACAAGTTGCTTAAACAATTACACTTGTAACTTAGCGTAAGACCTTTCATCTGGGACAAACATCTCAACGATGCTTCACGATTATTATTGTTAATTATTGTTAATTATTTTCCAAACTGATGAACTGATTCTGAACTTGTGTTGAACTTTCTGTGGTGTTAATCTCATGAGCGCTCTGTCTTCGTACTCACAGCTCTTTAGATGTTTCTTCGGCTCGCTGGCTCAAGACAAACAGCCTAGTTGCCAAGAGACTTACCATAATGGATGCACTGGCACCCACTGCCATTCAACAAACAGCAACGTACGTCCCAATCTTGGATAAACACGTTATTTCCAAGGTGTTCGATGAGGTGAGAATTCCGGTGCTGCTTCCAAATCTATGGAAATTCCTAAACTAGAGAAGACAATTGGCATTGATTAAAATGGATACTAAAAGGAGCATATAAATTGTTTTATGTCCCCGTCCTTGCAAATAAGAGGACCCGAGCTCGATTCCTGGGCAGGACAAAACCTTAAGGAAGGTTCCTTCCTCCACACTCCTCTGTTTAGCGAGCAGTAAATAGAAACCTGGTTATTAATCGATTGGTGGATCGCTTTCCAGGGTGGATAATTCCTTCAGAAATAATATAAATTTTTTTAAAAAATTGTTAATCTGGTCACTCAATCCACGACTGTTTGTGGGACGCTGCTGTGAGCAATTGGCTGCCGCGTTTTGCCCACAAAATATACAGTCAATTCACTTTCAGTATATTCTGCCTATAACAGTACCAAGTTGTTTTTTAAATGAGTCCTAGTGTCCTGGCCTCTACCACCTTTCCTGGCAACCTGTTCCAGTCATCGATTATCCTCGGAGTAAAGAAAAACTTCCCGATATCGGTCCTGAAATTGCCCTTTGCAACTCTAAACCTATGTCCTCCTGTTCTGCTGTCTTGCTGCATCCTAAAATGTTGTTCTGTGTTTTTAAATCCCATTTAAAATTTCATACACCTGTATGAGGTCCCCTAAGTTGTCTTCTCGTAAGACTAAATAATAATTCCTCAGCCATGCAATAGGTTCTCAGTTCTACAGTTTTACCAGAGAGGGGCAGTGTGACTGCATTTGCTCAGGATTTTATCGCACCCGCTTACAGTAAAATTTCAGCTCTATTCCTTTTTGTTTTTAGTAGATGTTTTACCTCTGTGAAAACATATGTTCTTCACTTATAAAATGCAGCTTTTTAAAATATTAATGCAAAGATGACAGAAATGTTGCATTTCTGATCCCAGCACGATTTTAACAAGAATCTATAATTCTCTCCCAATTAAGATACTTTGGGGAGACGGTTGGGCTTTGAAGATTATAGAGCTCTTTCTATTAAAATAAACTGTGCCATTGTGGTTTAAATGAAATAAGTTATGAAACGACAGTGTCAAAAATGATCTTAATTTGATATTTGGCCAGATTGTCTCTATATTCTGAACTGTAACAATTCATGCATTTAGTATAGCAACTTTCGTGGCGAGTGGATGTCCTAAAGCGCTTCACGGGGTTGACTGTGAAGTGGAGTGACTGCATGTTTTGTACGCAAACTAGAAATGTGCATTAGAACAATATGATACCAGCTTTGAGTTGTCTGGAAACCTGTATTAACGTAGCCACAAATATAAGTTATTTGTCATAATCTGTGTCCTCCACCTGAACTGTCCTCCCAAACCCTGACTGATCATTCCAATGTCCATTGTGGTTCACTCTCATCTGATTGCATTGTGTATCCAATGTAGTGAAGATGTCATTGAAAGTGTCACGAGACGATGATGTCTTTGCACATGTGATGTGATAGTGGCATCACCCAAGTCCTGTGTGGATGTCATTGTACATGTGATGTGATAATTTCATTGTCCCAGTGAAGCAATCTAAATCCATGCCATTAAATTGCCCTCTACCTGAATGATGGCAGTGGTACAAACATAATAATAATAATCCTTGCATTTGATATAGCGCCTTCTCACATCTTCGCGACGTTTCAAAACGCTTCTCAGAATATACTGTAAAGTGAATTGACTGTATATTTTGTGGGTGAAACATAACATGATTGATGGCTTCAGGGTCGGGTGGGAATAGACGCTGGGGAAACGAAGCCTTTTTTAATGTACTATCTGAGTTTGTGAGCTTGGGTATTCTCAATTATTTGTGACATGTCCATGTGCTTTAGGCTACATTCCTTCAGGCGTGGATAATCAATGGATAGGTGGGAATTGCCAAGTTAGAGTTCTGCCTGTGTTTTGGGGTTGCTGTAAGAAAACCAACTCTATCTCTAAAGATGCGACATGATAGAGCAGGTTACCAAAGCAACTCTTCATTAACAGGGTGAGCAATCAATGACATTAGGTGTGTGTGGATTGACATATTTCTCTGAGTGAGTGCCAAGTTACCCCAGGGAAATGATCTGAATCCACCGTGTGATGAGCATGCACCGATTAGCAAAAGTGGCACATGCACAGCTCGATCGACGGCTACAGTATTTTTCTGTACTTCCAGTCTGGTCCGACCCCCAAATACGCAGAGCTCCCTGAAAGAAAAGAACTCGGGTCACATTATTTCAACGTTATTGTTTTAAAAAATGAGGAACACCCCAAAAAAAAAATGATGATGTTGAGGTAATGAAAACTGACCTTTTTAATCTTTTTTTAAATGAAGAAAATGTCGGTGGTTTTCATTCAGTTTAGATAATTTTGATGCTAACTTGTGTTTAAACCCAGGTGTTACCTTTAGCTCACGTTGGCAACAGCAAGTCGCAGATCACACTGGTCAATCCGTTGGCTGTGAACCTTGACAGCTACAAGGAAAGACTCCTCCAAGCCATTCAGACCTACAATAAGTGAGTGGACACGAGTAAAACCTGATGGATTTAAATACATGTTCCAGCAGCTCGCATTTGTACTTCTCTCGAATAATTCTCACATAGGAATAAACAAAAAAAGTAATTTGCCAGATGCAACTCAGCCTGTCAGCTCTGCCATCTTCTGTAGCATTGGTTAGAGCACTTGACTCGGAGGGGAGAGGACCTAGGTTCGATTCTCAGGCAGGGTGAAACGTTAGGTAAGTTTCCTTATTCCCAAAGCCTCTGTTTACCAATCAGTAAGTAGGAGCTCGGTTGCTAGTCGACTGGCGGATTGCTTTTCGGGGGTAATAATCCCTTCAAAAAAAAAGAAATAATAATAAATTGGTCACTTTAATCCACCACTGTTTGTGGTTCACTGGTGTGCGCAAATGGCTGCCTCTTTTCGCCCACAAAATATAGCCAATTCACTTTACACTACATTCTGTGAAGCGCTTTGAGATGTCTCGAAGATGTGATAAGGCCTATCTCAAGGATTATTATTATATTAGACTTGTGAGGTCAAACCTTCAGTGTGTAGCAAAAGAAATTCGAGGCAATTGCATTGCACAGCTTTAAAAAAGGGTTTCAAGGGTTGTGGAGTTCTGGGCGGTTTACAGCTTGCGTAGGGAGGAGCTGGGCTGTACACTAGGAGAGCATTTGAGTAGCGACTCAAGAACATGGGATGGTGTTGTACGTGTCTGATAATTCATCTCCAGTACAAACGAGCAGTGTTTTAGAGGTTGGGAATTTCAAGCATTGGCTGTTTGTAGGAATGTGTGAAAATATTCGAGCAGATGAGCTGGAATCTATGGCCTGAATTATTGTAAGCGTTGCAGAGAAGTTTAATGAGTTGCCTGAGGACACGTTGGACTAAAAACAGTAAATCCTGTAACCACACGGGACCTCAGCCTGCCAAGCAACAGAACGAGAAATTCAGGTCACTGCCTATAGCTTCTGTTGAAGTGTCTCATCATACATTTTAAATGAACCTGGAACTTAAATGTGCAATTCATCACGGTTATTGATGATTACCCGTGATCTAATGCCTTTCTTCAAGCCAACTGATATAGTTTCAGCTTCATTAAAATAATAACATTAATAATATAATAATAATGCTCCTTGCATTTGATATAGCGTTTTATCGCGTAGTTGAGACATCTCAAAGTGCTTCACACGATATGATAATGATAATCCTTGCATTTGATACAGCACCTTATCGCGTCTTCGAGACGTCTCAAAGCACTTCACAAAATATATTGTAAAGTGAATTGACTGTATATTTTGTGGGCTAAACGTGGCAGCTAATTGCGCACAGCAGTGTCCCACAACCAGTCGTGGATTGAGTGACCAAATTATTATTTTTTAAAAAATATTTTGAAGGGGTTATTACCCCCAGTAAAGCGATCCACTAATGGACCAACAACTGGGTTCCTACTTACTGCTGGGTAAACAGAGAGTTTGCGGAGTAAGGAAACTTACCTAAGGTTTTGCCCTGCTCGGGAATCAAATCCAGCTCTTCTCACTTGCGAGGCAAGTGCTTTATCCTCTACGTGACAAGAATCCACAGGATTAATTCTGTAACACTGTAATAATTACTTTATTATTGAGACACTGATGTCCAGCACTGACAATACGAATGTTAACATTTGTTTTTTTTTCTATTTTTTCTTCTTCTGCAAGGCGTCTTAATCTAATTGTGTGGAGAGCATTGTCGCAAGACGAGCAAGATAAGTATGTAACATCAATCATTGCAAAGTGAACATTTAGAACCATAGATCTTTTCGGCACAACACAGAAGAAGTCCATCGTGTCTGTGCTGACTCTTTGAAAAAGCAAACCATTTGGTGTCCCCACCCAACCCCCTCCTCTCCCCATACCTCTGCAAATTGTGGAGTCCTGTAGCTCAGTGGTTAGAGCACTCGCTTCGCAAGTGAGAGACCTGAGTTCAATCCCAGGCAGAGGGCGAAACCTTGGGCAAGTTTCCTTACTCCACACAGAGCCTAATAATAATCCTCCAAAACCAAAAACAATAATAAATTGGTCATTTTCAATCCACGACTGTTTGTGGGACATCGCTGTGCGCAATTGGCTGCCGCGTTCGCCCACAAATATACAGTCAATTCACTTTACACTATATTCTGTGAAGCGATTTGGGACGTCCTCCCGACGTGAAAAGCGCAATATCCAATGCAAGGATTATTATTATTATTATTATTATTATAAATTATTCCTTTTTAGTTATATATTACTTCTACCAGGTCTTCCCCTCAACCTCCTTCATACCAATGAAAATAAGCCCAGTTCCTCCAATACAACAACAACAAGATTTCATTTATAGAGCGTCTTTCACGTCGGGAGGACGTCCCAAGGCGCTGTACAGTTGGGTCGGGACCCAAGCATTGGGGGGGAAATGGTCAGGGTGAGGGGAGGGAAGGGAGGGAGCGAGGAGGGGGTAGAGAGTCGAGAGGGGAGCTGAAGGCACCGTCAAAGAGAAAGGTCTTGAGACCGGCCTTGAAGGAGGAAAGTGAGGAAGCGACGAAGGCACTGGGGGATAGAGTTCCAGAGCCTCGGGGCTGAGAGGCTGAAGGCCCGGCCACCGATGGTAGGGCGGTTGGGGCGGGGGATGTGGAGCAGATCGGAGCCAGAGGAACGGAGGGTACGGGCAGGTAAGTAGGGGGTTAGTAGGTCAGAGAGGTAGGAGGGAGCGAGGTCGTGAATGGCCTTGTAGGTGAGGATGAGGATCTTGAATTCGATCCTCTGGGGGATGGGGAGCCAGTGGAGGCGAGTGAGGGTGGGAGTGATGTGGTCGCGGTGTCTGGTGCGGGACAGTACACGAGCTGCAGAGTTCTGAATGACCTGCAGTGTGGAGGGAGGGCCGGGAAGGCCGCGAGGAGAGAGTTCCCATAGTCCAGCCTTGAGGTGACAAAGGTGTGGACCAGAGTTTCAGCCGCGTGAGGGGTGAGGTAGTGCCGTAGTCTGGCGATGTTCCGGAGGTGATGGAAGGCGGTACCAGTTGTGCGGATATGAGGGAGAAAGGAAAGCTCAGGGTCGAACAGAACCCCGAGGTTCCTGACGGCTTTGAGAGGTGGAGAGTGCAGCCTTGGATGCTGATGCTGTCAGCGCCTGAGGTGCGGAGGCGCTGATGCGAACCAATCAGGAGGGCCTCAGTTTTACGCACGTTGAGCTGCGTATAGTTCAAACCACTCATCTCTGGTATCATCCTGGTAAACCTCTTCTGCACTCTCTCTGTACCCTGACATCCTTCCTGAAACGAGGTGACCAAAATTGGACACAATGCTCTAACTGAGTTCTAATTAACGATTTATGCTAATTAAACATCACCTGTTTGGTATCATATTCTATGTTCCTATTTATAAAGCCTAGGATCCCATTAGCTTTCTTCACAGCATTGCTTACCTCCCTTCCCACCTTTTTAAAAAAAAGTTATCTTAACTCCGAACTCTTCGCTCGATCTACCTCTTTTCAAACCATTTAGCAATCACTTCCTCTCCTTATCTTTCCTTCCAAATTGTATAACCTCCCACATTTCTGCACCAAATGTCATCTCTCTGTCCAATCTGTGAGTTTCTTTATGTCCACCTGAGGTTGCTTGCAGTCTTCTTCATTGTTAGCTGCATTGCTTATTTTTGTGTTGGGTGATATAAATGTTTAAGTGTGATTAGGTATTAATTGATTTTTTTATTCATTTGTGTTCTTTCCTCTGGCACAAGGTTCAGCAGTGATGGACCCGTCTCATTTCGAGAACATAAGGAAGCTTTGCTCCAAACTTTGGACCGATTGGGGTGGCCTATCTCTCAGGAAGATGTTTCTTTGTTGGAGGATGAGATACAGGCTGGCTATTCATACCAGCAACAAGCTTGTGACCTGCAGAAAGCTGCTCGAGAGAAGCTCCCTGTCCCTCCCGCAGGATTACAAAGTGACCACCGCAAAGCGGGGATGGTGAGTTCAAAATGATCTCTGTGTCAGCCCTGGCTCAGTTGGTAGCGCTCTCATCTCTGAGTCAGAAGGTTGTGGGTTCAAGCCCCATGTCAGGGGCTTGGATGTTTAAGATCCTATGGTACTATTAGGCAAGAGAAGGGAGTTTCTTCCGGTTTCCTGGTCAACAATCCTCCAGATAAAATTGGTCACTCACTTCACGGCTGTTTTGTGGGGACGTTGCTGTGCGCAAATTGGCTGCCATGTTTGCCTACCAAAGTACGAGCAGTAATTAAGTAAAGAAAATAAACGTGATTACTGTAATTCACAGGCGATGAGGCATTGAGGTAATTTTGACGTTCCTTCCTCTTGTGGGACAACTACTCTTTAATAAAGAGCTTGTTTTTCCTGATGTCAGACATTGGCATAGCTCTGTCTCTGTCACTTCACTGTAGGCTTCACTGTAAAGAAAACCTCTTTAAGCTTTACCATTTAACTCCGTAATCTTGAAACCCCAAATTGCTTTAGCAGATGCTTCATGTTACAATGTATAACAGCGTAGATTAGAGAGAGCACAGCTTAGATTAGAGAGAGCAATAATAATAATAATAATCCTTGCATTTGATATAGCGCTTTTCACGTCGGGAGGACGTCCCAAAGCGCTTCACAGAACACACTGTAAAGTGAATTGACTGTATATTTGTGGGCGAACGTGGAAGCCAATTGCGCACAGCAATGTCCCACAAACACTTGTAGATTGAAAATGACCAATTTATTATTGTTTTTGGTTTTGGAGGGATTATTATTAGGCTCTGTGTGGGGTAAGGAAACTTGCCCAAGGTTTCGCCCTCTGCCTGGAATTGAACTCAGGTCTCTCACTTGCAAAGCGAGTGCTCTAACCACTGAGCTACAGGACTCTGACTCCTTGTCAATGTAGATTGCTACCAGGGATGAGTTGGATATCTCTATCAAGGCAGTAAGGACAGGTTGTAGTTTTTCTCTCTGAAGTTGAGTTGACTGAAAGGGACCTGATAGAGATATATAGGATTATGAAAAGATTTGATAAGGTATGTTGATAGCTTGTTTCCACTTGTTGGTGAGTTCAAAACAACAGGGATTAATATAAAACAGCCAGTAATAGGGAGTTTAGGAGGAACTTCTTCATGCAGAGGCTGGTGAGAATGTGGAACTCACCGTTGGAAGCTGTGGTTGAAGTGGGAAACACCAACATGTCAGTCTGGCTCAGTTAGCAGTATTCCAGCCTCTTATTATTATTATTATTTGAGTAGAAGATTGAGAGTTCAAGGCCTATTTCACATAGTCTAGGCTGACACTCCAATGCAATGCTGGGGCTGTGCTGCATTGTCGGAGGTGCAGTTTTTCGGTTGGGACGTTAAACCGAGGTCCCGTCTGTCTGTTTGGGTGAACGTGACAGATTCCACGGCACTGTTCAAAAAGATAAGGGAGTTTCTCTCTCCCGGTGTTCTGGCCAACGATCCCCCAAATAAAATCGCTCATTCTCTTTCTGTTTCTGAGGCGTTGCTGTGTGCAAATTGGCTGCTGTGTTCACCCACAAAATAGACACTTTACAGTATAGCCTGTGAGTGCTTTGAGATGTCTTGACAATGTAATAAGTCCGATAACATTATTATTATTATTTTTGCGTATTTCACAGAAAAAATGCTCATGTGAGGGAGAAGGCAATGGGGGAATATAGGTGAGGGGAATAAGAGAGGTGGGAGCTCGTGTAGAGTGTAAACACTGACACAAAACAGTTGGGCAGAATGGTCTGCTTACACTCTATGCAACATTATGTACCAATTGCAAAATTGTATTGGAATTCCCTGAGAATGCCATAGTTTACATTTGCTCCAGTGTAAAAACTGGGGGAAAAACCCCCAACAGCTTAATGTATTATTCAGTCAGTTATTTATATTTTTGCAGTCGTGCATTAACGAAGGTTATTCACAGCAGAGAGTGTCGGGAACAAACATGTCAGTGAGTTGTAAATATCAAGCTGTATTACTGCCCTCAGGTGACTCCAAAGTCGTAACTTTATATGAATAAATATGTCGGGATTAGCAGTGAGGATTTTGCAATTAGCAGATCAGTCACTGTGACCAAATCTTGTGCATGGACGTGACAGGAAAATCCTTGCATTTGATATGACGCCTTATCATATTGTCGATTTCTTCACAAGGTTTTACTCCAAAGTCTAGAGGCTGTATCACTTAAAAATGCAATTCATAGGAAGTAGGCCATTCGGCCCCTCGAGCCTCCCCCGCCATTCGATAAGATCATGGCTGATCTTCAGACCTAACTCTAATTACCTGCCCTATCCCCATATCCCCTAATCCCTCTATTTTTTAAAAATCTATCAGTCTCAGCCTTGAAGATGTTCATGGTGGATTTCATATGAATTAATTAGTTCTTAAAGCACAAAACAAAAGCGAGCGTGAATTGTTGTTCACACACGTTTAGTGTTATTTTATGAAACTCTGACCTTCACTCATTTCACTTATTATAATTGAGAATAGCTAAAAATATGATCATTTGATGCAGGGTTTTGTTTTACATGTCATTGTCTGCCATCGTGCTCTGCAGAGAGATTAAAGATAATTGAAGGCAGTGCAAGGAGAAGAGTTGCTAATTTACAGAGTGCACTGGGAGGTTAGATTGGGAGAATCGAGATGATTTGCACGTAAAGGAAAACTCTGCAGAGAGAATGATTGCTGGCTAAATCCTTATCACCTCTTCAGCCCTGATATGTGATGGGATTAGCTCCTTAATACTTTGAAAATCAAAACGGTGGAACGTGGCTCTCTCAACATTGAGCAGGGTATAGCTTGGGTTCCAGATGTGCCTGCTTCTCTCTGGAAAAGCAGACTTTGATGTGTTCAACGAGGGAGTGACAAATCAGTTCCAGGCAAATTGATCACTGTGGTTACGGATTCAAATAGAAATTTACGGCACACAAGAAGGCCATTCAGCCCATCATGTCATTGTGATTCTTGGATGCTTAACAGTGGTAAGATAATATATACAGTGGAAGCCGCTTAAGCAAGACATGTGGGGGCTGGGAGTTTTGTCCGATTTACCCGTCGTCTGAGTTTAACCGGCGTCCGGCTAAAGTGGCTGCCACTGTAATATGTTTATTATTATAATAATACTAATAATCCTTGCATTTGATACAGCGCTTTTCACGTCGGGAGGACGTCCCAAAGCGCTTCACAGAACACACTGTAAAGTGAATTGACTGTATATTTGTGGGCGAACGCGGCAGCCAATTGCGCACAGCAATGTCCCACAAACAGTCGTAGATTGAAAATGACCAATTTATTATTGTTTTTGGTTTTGGAGGGATTATTATTAGGCTCTGTGTGGAGTAAGGAAACTTGCCCAAGGTCTCGCCCTCTGCCTGGAATTGAACTCAGGTCTCTCACTTGCAAAGCGAGTGCTCTAACCACTGAGCTACAGGACTCCACATGTATCATAATAATAATAATATTTTGGTCACTCAATGCACGACTGTTTGTGGGACGCTGCTGTGCACAATTGGCTGCCGTGTTTCGCCCACAAAATATACAGTCAATTCACTTTACAGAATAGTCTGTGAAGTGCCCACAAAATATACAAGTTTCCTTACTTCACACGCCTCTGTTTATCCAGCAGTAAGTAGGAAGCCAGTTGTTAGTCGATTGGAAGATCACTTTTCCGGGGATAATAATCCTTAAAATTATTTTGATACAGTCAATTCACTTTACAGTACATTCTGTGAAGTGCTTTGAGATGTCTCGAAGACGTGATAAGACGCTCTATCAAACATATGGATTATTATCGTTATATATTATACATACAATAATAATCCTTGGGATTTTGGCTGAGGTTTTAAATTTTGCTGAGGTTCAAAGAATGGATCGACGGGACAAAAAGTGGAATTTGTGATTTGATTTCATTTAATTCGCTCTTAAAGCACGAAACAAAAGTCACTGTGAATTTTCGTGCAATTTTACACACGGTTAGTGGTTTTTACCTCAAAGTGCTACGCATGATTCACTGTAAAGTGCAGTGACTGTGTTGGTAGGCAAAATACCAGCAGGAACAGATTTCCTCACAGTTTCTAGTTTAAAAGGCGTTTTTTTTTAAGACCTGCTTATAATTGGCAAATTATAAAGAATGAATGAAACCTAAAGCTGACTCCTCTCTCAGCATATCCCAAACAGTGTGAGACAGCAAGTCAAGCAAGCAAATTGATGTTGATCGACACATTGAATGCAGATGTTTGTGGCAGTACAAGACAAGCACAGTTCATATAACCATTAGTGCAACTCGAACTATTAATAAGACATTTCAGAAATGGCTTGACAAGATGCTCAGTGCACAAAATGTCCACCTTCTGCAGAAAGTAGCTACTTTAGGAAGTTCAATCCCCCTAAGAAAAGTAACATCACTGAAAACTATCTCTACGGAGTGATCTAAACTACAATTACGTAACAACAATAATAATCCTTGCATTTTCTTTAGAGTCTTTGACGTTGGGAGGACATCTAAAAGCTCTTCAGGGGATGTAGTGACATGGTACTTTCTAGGCGATTTGTTTAGTTACTTAGATGCTGTTTGGAGATCTGAGGATCTTATTGGAAAAAGTGTGAACCTCCTGTTAACAGTGAAACCAGAAGCATCGTGGGAATGGAGATCCATATTGAGGACTGACGATCACAACATCACAAGATCGTTTCAGATGAAGAAAGCCCTTTTGGCCCATTTGATCTCATCCTTCTAGAATAACCATCTTCCCATCACAGCATCAAGCTGCTTTTTAAATGAGTCCAATGACCTGGCCTCAACCACCTTCCTAGCAATCAGTTACCCACTTGGTAAAGAAAAATATTGTCCTGAAACTGCCCTTTGCAACTCTAAACGTTTGACCTCTTGTTCTCCTGTCTCGGTGCAATCCTAAAGTTACCATATATTCTTCTGGACAGGCCAAAAGCTAAGCTCACATTTAGGTGTAGGCAGTACACATTTTGATCACTATGAGCTGTTTAGATTTGTATCTCAAACTGGGATGGAAGAACTTCATATTGATTTGCCAAGATGAAAAGATCCTGTTGTCTGGTTACCAGAGTTACGCAGCACTGGGATCAGCTTTATGAAACTGGCCAGAGGGTTGGTGTAGCAGGAGGAAGTCTCTTGGGGTTCTTTAGGATGGAATAGACCGAGCTTTGCTCTGCTTCCAGCCTACTCTTCCATCTGCCTTGCGAGCGGTTTGACACTGGATGGCGGAAGGGGAAAAAGGCTTCTATTCCTTTTTCCTACTATCGGTAGCTCAAGTGGAGAACACAGAGAAGTCTATTTTATTACCTCTGCAAATAATAATCCTTGCATTTGGTTATAGCACCTTTCACAGCGGGAGAACATCTCAAAGAGCTTCACAGGATTTTACTGTAAAGTGTAGGGACTGTGTATTCTCTACACCAACTCGGGAGTCAGTTTGCATACAGCAATATCTGAGGAATAACAACAAAGTGAATGGCCAATTTTATCTGGGAGATTATTGACCAGGACACTGATTCCTGTAACAACTTGTATTTCTATAGAACCCTTACACTGGAGAGCAATACAGCATTCTCCAGCATGGCATTGTATGTCATCTTACACTTTGTGTCCCAATGTGGGGCTCGAAGGTTCAAACCCACAAACTTCTGAGTCGGAAGCTACCAACTGAGCCAGACCGACATCAAGCCAGTGAATGTTCACTATGTTAGTTGGTGACATGATCTATGTAGATTTCTTTTCTTTGAAAACACTCCACAGAACAAGAAATAGCATTGACAGCCAAATTACAGCCATGGAGACAATCTATCTCATTGACTGCACCTATGCGTCATTGAGTTTGGTGATGGGTTTTTACAGAGGTGACCTTTTATCTCACTCTCTTGCTGATTTTTGTCTATTAATCAATCCATTTTTAAACAACACTTTCTCCCTGATTCCTAAGAGGTTAGTGAGTGTCTTTTGCGGTTGATTGGTTTAAGTTGGATAATGTGAGTGTAATCAAAGTACTTCTCTGAGCTCACAGCAATCACTGACATTCAAATGAGCCCAGACTGGGTTGCAGGCTGTCGTAAGGTTTCATTGACATATTAGATGTATAGCTTATTTGGTAGCACTCTCTCCTCTAAGTTCAAGTCAACACATCAGGACTTTGAATTCGCTGTCAAAGGCTGACACTCCATTGCTGGAGGTGCGGTCTTTCGGATGAGAGGTTAAACCAAGGACCTGTCAGCCTGTTTAGATAAACATGCAACATCTATCCCACGGCACTGTTTGAAAAGAGGAGAGAGTTCCTCCAGGTATCTTGGCCCAGAATCCTCCAGATAAAACTGATCATTCACTTCATGGCTATTTGTGGGACATCGCTATGCACAAATTGGTTGCTGCGTTCATCTACAAACACAGTCACTGCACTTACAGTAAATAATAAAAATAATCCTTGCATTTGATATAGCGCCTTATCACACCTTCAAGAAGTCTCAAAGCACTTCACAGAATGTGCTGTAAATGAAATTGACTGTATATTTGTGGGCGAAACGCGACAGCCAATTACGGACAGCAGCGTCCCTCACAGTGGTGGATTGAGTGACCAATTTATTATTATTTTTTATTTTAAAAATTGAAGGAATTATTACCCCCGGAAAAGCAATCCGCCGATCAACTAACAACAAATCTTGTCAAGTGCTTTGAGACGTCTTCCTGATGTTAAATAGGTTATACCAAATGCAAGGATTTTTAAAAAAGGTCTCCCAGGAAATATAATCGGGCTTCATAGACTGAATGGCCTTTTCGCTTGTTCCTCATCCCCTTCTCTCCACCATTAGCGGCCGCACTTTTAGCCTTTACGCCACAAAACTTTGGAACTCTCTCCTTCGACCTTCCTCTTCCCTCCCCCCGGCTCAGCGTCAATCTCCGCCACTGTTAAGCACTCTGAGACACTGTCCCACATGAACGGCGCTATATAAATGCGATTCGTTGTTGTTGTCATCGTATTATTATGCTGATTAAGACAATTCTTTGTGAAATTTACATTTTTTATCGGTTAACATTTTTTAAAAATTTTATTTGACATGAACAGAGGAACACGAAACCACCTTCCAGATACCACATTACCAGCAGGAATAAACCCACAAACCAAGCCAGGCAGGTGCTGGACACCCTCAAAGGTCAGAGAGTAATTGCTAGGTCAGAGATCAATGGTTTCTATTACCCAGGTAAGTTCATTCGTCTAGATTCTTGATGGAACTGTGTTTTGAGATCTCTGTTCGGTTAAGCTAGTCAGAAGCCAGGTGTTTGGCATATGCCAAAACCTACCACCATTACCAAGGGCATCCAAACCAGACTAAATTTCCAAGTATGTCATCCATACATAGAAATTATATAGAACTAACTGTACCCATTGCCGCTATGCCTGTAACAACACAACCACCACTAACCAACACCAAACAACAGCAAAATTGCATTTATAGAGCGCCTTTCACGTGGGGAGTGTAACCAAAAGATCCAATATGGAATGTAGATTGACACCCAGACAGACTCACAGACAGATGTTTCATTTTTATCTATACTCATCTGGAAGGACTCATTTTGGGAGGACACTGTGGGAGGACTCGGCACTTTAAAAATTTAATTTTGTTGCTGAAGCCGCGGCTTAGCTTCTTCTGTGTTCTTTATTTTGTTCCGCCGCTTGGCTATGTGCATGCTCTGTGACGGAGGATGCCACAGCGCTACTGTCAGCCGATGAGGCCACCAGGTGTAACTACAGTGTGTGCATACATACATACATACATGTTCTGTGACGCATGATGCCACAGCGTCACTTTGATTCGGCGGCCACCAGGTGTAACTGAAGCAAAATACGCAAAGCTGAAAATAACTCATGAACGATAGAGGATACACGAAAGCAATGTCACTCCCAGGTGCAAGACCTTTCCCATGACGTATAAATCATGTCTCTATGTCAATCGGTTATTGAGATCCTTCTTGAAGCGCAGACAGATATTGTCATTTTATTAGTGTAGATGATAGATAGAAGATAAGATTACATAGGGTGATATGGTACAGGGTTGCACCCTGCTTACCAAATTCCAGAGAGTATTAGGCACAGGTTGGAAAGAGCCAAAGCTCGGTTAGCACACCAGAGTGTGTAATAATAATACTAATATTTGCATTTGATATAGAGCCTTATCGTGCCATTAAGTTATCTCAAAGCGCTTCACAGAATATTTTGTAAAGTGGATAGACTGTATTTTGTGGGCGAAATGCAGCAGAGTAGTGTCCCACAAACAGTGGTGGGTTGAGTGACCAATTTATTTATTTATTTGTTTGTTTTTTGAAAGGATTATTACCCCCCCGGAAAGCGACCTGCCAATCGACTAACAACTTGGTTCCTACTTACTGCTAGGTAAACGGAGGAGTGTAGTGTAAGGAAACTCGTCTAAGGTTTCATCCAGCCCGGGAATCGAACCCGGGTCCTCTCGCTTGGGTATTAGGGTAACTGCTTAAGTCTAACCAGTTAAAACCACGTAGCTTGCCAATGAGAACACTGTCTGGCAAGATTCCCGTTATTGTCCAGCAAAGACCACCCTCCCTACTAGGGCTTTGGCATGCGGGGTTGCCAAATTTGGTGTTACCCAAACCACTGCCTAACTTTTACTCTTGTCCTTTTTCAATTTCTGGCTGTGTTTTGCAATGCAGTGACGATAGGAGTCGATACCAGGATCTGGATTACACTGCTTGAAAGTGCACTGGAAGCAGACTCAAAATCATTCAAAATGGAATTGAATATTTGCAATGATATGGGGAAAGAGCAGGAGTTGGGCTAATTGGATAGCTCTTTCAAAGAGCCGGCACAGGCATGATGGGCTGAATGGCCTCCTTCTGTGCTGTAGGATTCTATGATCCTAAATGCGACTGTTTATGGTAATCATTTGCACTTAAACGAGAGGGCAAAAAAACAAGTACGAGGTAATTAATTCTGCCGAAATTAGAAAACATGAGGCGAACCCATTAACCTTTAGCCTAATCAATTGTAAAGAGTCCAAAGGCAATTAAATTTCACTTTGCACTTTATAACTCCCGCGTTAATATTAATCAGCTTGGAATTATTCTGTCGCTGAGCAATTTGGCCACTCAGTGAGGAAACAATGGGCCCTCAGTCCTGCACTGAACATAAGTTATGCAAATTAAAATGAATGACTTAATTTGGGGAGTTGATGGGTGGTGATGGTAGAAGGAGGTAGAAGGATCAATTCAGATAATAATAAAAATAATCCTTGCATTTGATGTAACGCTTTTCACATCTTTGAGACGTCTCAAAGCGCTTCACAGAATATATTGTAAAGTGAATTGACTATATATTTTGTGGGCGAAATGAGGCAGCCAATTGACTGTCCCACAAACAGTCGTGGATTGATTGACCAAATTATTTTTTTTTTTCTTGAGGGATTATTATCAGGCGTGTGGAGTAAGGAAACCTTGCCCAAGGTTTCGCCCTGCCAGGAATCAAACCCAGGTCTCTCGCTTGCGAGGCGAGTGCTCTAACCACTGAGCTACAGGACTCGAAATAGCGACGAGAATTGAAAAGAGAATTTAGGAGGAACTATTTCACCCAGAGGGTAGTGAGATCGTGGCTCTTTCTGCTTGAAGCAGATACAACAACTTGCATTGATATAGCGTCCCAGAGCAACTAACAGGAAGCGGAGTGCAACTCGCACACAATGCACATGAAGTGACAACATTGGCGACCCAGTGAGTGGGTGACCTTGAGAAGGCAGCCAGTTATTTTTTATTACACCCCCACATTATAATAGAAGACTTTATAGACCAAAAGCACTGTGGCATATTCTATGGAGTCCTGTAGCTCAGTGGTTAGATCACTCACCTCGCAAGCGAGAGGACCTGGGTTTGATTCCCTGGCAGGGAGAAATATTGGGTAAGTTTCTTTACTCCACATGTCTCTGGTTATCCACCAGTAAGTAGGAACCCGGTTGATAGTCGATTGGCGGATCGCTTTTCGGGGGGTAATAATCCCTTCAAAATAAATTAAAAAATAATAATAATTTTGTCACTCATTCCACGACTGTTTGTGGGCCACTGCTGTGCGCAATTGACTGCCGCGTTTCGCCCACATAATATACAGTCAATCCACTTTTTAGTATATTCTGTGAAGCGCTTTGAGACGTCTTGAAGACACCATAAGGCGCTATATCAAATGCAAGGAATTTTATTATATATTCTAGTGGTGCTGTCCTAATTTTTTCTCATTATGTACACATTTAGAATTTTTTAAATGAGTTTTATATTAAAAAAAATCCCACTTAAGCTATCATCTCCATGCAGCTTCAGGAAAATTGTTTATGGATTATTATATATGTATACTGTATATATTAAAAAAATCTAATCTTGTAAAATGAAACTGCTGGGCATTGAACTAGCAATGAAAAATGCTGCAGCTTATCTGCACCTGCTTAAGAAGTTAATGGAATTTTTAATGCAATAGCATTTGACTTTAAAATGAGAACCAGCCAGTGAACTGATATATTTTTCCTCCTAAATTACATCTATTATGCTGTTCCACCTACCTGCAGATGAGTTATCTGTCCGCTTTGTTTGACCTTGGCCTGCGGGAAAGGAGAAAAAATTAATACGTCAATAACGAAACGGGGCGAGGGCAATTTAGCCTTAAAAAAATGTTCTCACTATCTTTTGCAGGCATTTGTCCACAAAACACACAGTCACTCCTCTTTACAGTATATTCGGTAAAGCGCTTTGGGTCGTGAAAGGGGCTATACTGAATGAAAGGATTATTATTAATATTATCTGTTTTAATGGGGTTTTTTTCAGCAGGGAGAGGAGGTAGGGGCTAAATGTTTATTTCTCATGGTGAAGGACGTTAGTCTTAGATGTTAGCATCAGATCAGGTTGGCACAGTTCCCTTTCCTCCCCCACTCCACACACACATACACACACAACCTTTTTGTCTCGATCTCGACTTCAGCAAAACCACTCCACACTGTAGTCCTATAGCGTAGTGGTGAGAGCACTAGTTTCGAAAGTGAGAGGACCTGGGTTTATTCCTTATAGACCTACCTAATGCATTACAGCTGACAGCAGAGAGAATTGTGAGTGCAGTTTGCTTTATTCTATCTCTGACTATTCCCAGGTGTTGTGTCCAAATGCATCAGCTCCAGAAAAGCCATTGTTCATTTCACCAAAGGAGAGACTCAAATCACACCGACTGAGTTTATAATCCAGACTGGAGGAGCTACACCTTGCCCCCCATTAAAAGTAAGTGAAAGCAGCCATATTGGCTGCACATTTTACTCTATACTTAGAGCTTTTACATGAATGACTTAATATTTTCAACATTTAGAATTATAGAACCATACAGCACAGAAGGCGGCCTATTAGCCCATTGTGCCTGTGCTGGCTCTTTGAAAGAGCAATCCAAGTTGTCCCACTCCCCCGCTCTTTCCCCACAGGCTTGCAGCTGGTGTCAGGCTGGCTCAGACCGTGTATTTTATTTTGCCACCAAGTCAGAATGTTGTGGATTCAAATCCCACATTGGATCTTTGAAATTACAGTCCAGGTTGAAACTCCACTCCACAGTCTAGGTTGACAAATCTTGTGAAGCGCTTTCAGACGTCTGAGATAAGGTGAAAAGGTACAACATCAAATGCAATAATTACCATCATTATTTCTCAATGAATGGATCAAGAAACACCAAAGGGCTTTAATGTAGTTTCTATGACTGAGAAATTATGTTATATTTTCTCAATGGTCTTCCTGTTAGCCCTGCAAGCTAAAAGCCCTAGTGGATTGGGTTGTTCTTGCTGCTGGACGAGAAGCGGTAAGCTTGCCAGACCATGGTTTTCAATGGCAAGCTATGTGAATTTAGCTAGCTAGTATCCCTAATGCACACTTTGGGGTTGCCAAGCCTTGGCTCTTGCCTACATGTGTCTAATTGTGGAGTTCTGTAGTTTAATGGTTCGAGCACTTGCCTCGAAAACAAGAGGACCTGGGTTCGATTCCTTCCTCCACACGCCTCTGTTTACCTAGCAGTGAATAGGAACCCGGTTGTTAGTCGATTGGCGGATTTCTTTTCCGGGGGTTATAAACCCTTTAAGACAAATATTAATTTAAAAAGAATAATAATTTTGTCACTCAATCTACAACTGTTTGTGGGACACTGTTGTGCGTAATTGGCTGCCACGTTTCGCCGATAAAATACACAGTGAATCCACTTTACAATTTATTCTGTGAAGCGTTTTGAGACGTCTCAAAGACATGATAAGGTGCTGTATCAAGGATTATTATTGTTAATACAATCTGGAATTTGGTAAACAGGATGCATCCCACTGAGGAGAGAAATTGCGCATTCGATTCCAGACATGGACAAATCTGTCTCTAAGGTTAAGTGTCCAGTGCACGACTTCATAAATGCACACTTTTATTTACAGGTGGGAGACTTTGTTTTGGTTCGAACTAACGAGGAGGGAGAATATTATCGCTGGGTAACTGGTGTGATCATAGCAACACCACAAAGTGCCCGGAAAGATGATAAATTTTATACAGTTTTAAAGTATAACAACAGGAAGGTGGGTAGATTAAATGGATAAATGAATTTGAAATGCCATGTATTTTACTCCATTTCCTTATAGAAAACCAATTTAGCATCCTTGTTACATTATTCACAGGTATTAAGGGTATTAAGACATTGTCCTGCGTGAAGGGGACTGCATGGATGAAAGTTGTTGTTGTTAAGGATGCGATACGAGGTTGTTAGTATCATTCTAATTCCGTTGTAGAATTGTAAAAATGCAGTAATGCACCACACAAGCAATGGTATTGTCATTGCATTATTTTCTATGAAGCTTTCCTCGAGCATCATCCTGGCTCAATTGATAGCAATCTCGCTTCTGAGTCAGATGGGGCGCTGGACTTCATATAGCCTAAGCTGACACTCCAGTGCAGCACTGATAGACATGCCATCCTTCAGATGAGATGTTAAAATGCATCCTGGATGCCCGTTCAGGTGGGCGGTAAAGATCCCATATCACTATTTGAAAACAGGAGAGGTCTCCCGGTGTCCCTGTGTTTGAGAGACTGAATGCCCAGAGCTGTGGTTTGTGATTTCAGGAGCACGCATTACGGAGGGGACTGAATAAAATCAGCAAGACACAATATATCTTCACCTGTCGTTACATGAAAGAGACTAAGATGGCAGATCGAACAATGTAAGTAGCACTAATTATCTATAGAAGCTAATTATCTATAGCACTAATTATCTATATCTATATAGCTGCAGGATTCTATGATTCTATGACCTTGATACAATGGTATGATCCTGATTTGAGACTCTTGTTACGAAATTGGGCTTTCAACAGTAATGGGGAGGAAACAAACTGGATTAAGTTTGATTTCTCCACTCTTGCAGCGTGAATATTGCCTCTAGGACTGCAGATTTGAGCTGAGCAGGAACACAGGGATGTTGGGAAGAGTGGGAGGAGGGGCATGGTCAGAATTGAGCTGAGACAAGAGGCTGCAGAGGGACGCTGGACTTCTTTAAGAAGCAGTTTGTGGTTCTAATGGAGGAGGTGTTGTGGGTTTGATGGTGTCAAATGGGATGTTTTTTCCAAGTGTCGTGGCCAACAATCCCCCAAATAAAAATTGGTTATTCGCTTAATGGCTGTCTGTTGGGACATTGCTAACCGCAAAATTGGTTGCTGCATTCGCCCACAAAACACACAACCAATACATTTTATAGTAGAGGGCTACATTGGGTTAATTCTGCAAATCCTGTGAAGCACATGGAGGAGTCCTCACGACATACAAAGACGTTGTATCAGATAGAAGGCTTGTTACTCTTATTATTATTACCTCCCATGGAAATTTGTGAACATTATATTGCTCACCCTTGTTCTCTAGACCCAGCGTGCAGTTTATAAGACCGATTGCCAAGCCACCTCCTTCAGAGAGAGAGGAAAAAACAACGTCCTCTTCGGAGGAAGAAAGGCGAGGGAAGAAATCAAAGAGGAGCAGGAGCAAGAAATGTAGCAGGAAGCACAAGGAATCTTCAGACACTGAGAGTGAAGATGCACGATCAGCCTCTAAGTCAGATCTCGGGCGAGAAGAGAGAGATCGCACTAGTGATGAAGATTGTGATGAAGGTACACTCCCTCAGGTTCCACTCGTTTCTTCTCAAGTTGGTTGCTGTCATCTAAATATCGCAAGCAAAAGGACCTGGGTTGGATTCCCAGGCAGGGAAGTTGGGAAACCTGTTGTTAGTTGAGATTGGTGGATTGCTTTCCAGAGGTAATAATCCCTTCAAATAAAAGAAATAATAATAATAATAATAATAATTTCTTTACACAATCCATGATTGTTGTGCCAGCAACAATAACAACAAAATTCCGTTTGTAAAGCGCCTTTTACGTCGGGAGGATGTCCCAAGGCTCTGAAAAGTCAGGGATCAGGACCCGAGCGTGGGGGAAGGGTTGGGATGAGGGAGAGCAGAAGGGGTAGGAGGGCGGCTGAAAAGGAGGGTCTTGAGTCATGCCTTGAAGGAGGCAAGGGAGGGAGCGAGGCATGGGATTGTCGGATGGTGTTCCAAAGAGTGGGGGCAGAGAGGCTGAAAGCCTGCCCGTCGATGTTAGGGTGGATCGGGTGGGAGACTTGGAACAGGCTGGAGCCTGCTGACCGGACGGAGCGGACAGGTTGATAGGGGTTCAGCAGGTCAGAGATGTAGGAGGGGGCAAAGCCATAGAGGGCCTTGAAAGTGAGGAGGAGGATTTTGAATTCTATCCTCTGAGGGATTGGGAGCCAGTGGAGCCGGGCGATGGTGGAGGTAATGGGATCACGGTGACAAATCCGGAAGAGAACAAGAGCTGCAGAGTTCTGGATGATCTGCAGCTTGTGGAGGGAAGAGTTGGGGAGGCTGACGAGCAGAGCGTTTCCGTAGTCAAGCTTTGAGGTGACAAATCCGTGTATGACACGCTGCTGTGCACAATTGGCTCCTGCGTTTGCCCACAAAATATACCATCAATTCACTTTACAGTATATTCTGTGAAGCACTTTGAGATGTCCTGAAGATGTGATAAGGCGTTATATCATGCAAGAATTATTATTATATTATTATTATTATAACAGAAATGAGCTTCAGAGAGTCAACGGGTCATAGAGAGATCAATTTAAGGTAGTTAGGTGGGATTTTTTCACAAAGCTTTATTCAACAGAGTATATTCTAAACCAGAGTTATCTTATATACTAATAAAGACAAAATGTCTATCTGTGCGGCTGTGTGTCTGTCTGTCCACCAAGAACACAGTAACAGATTGACTTAGAGACATGATTTATACCTCATCGGAAAGGACTTGCATGGGGGAGTGTCATGGGCATATTTCTTGGGAGGGATTTCCTATAATTGATGAGCTATATTTAAATCAATGCTTTAATTACCCCCAAAAAGTTATGCATGGTATTCTGCAACAAAGTAGCGACAGAGATCACCCACCCTTCTATAAGACTAAATGTCTGTCTGTGTGTCTGTCAAACCGAATGATGTAGAGACAACAACAGGAGTCCTCCCAACCAGGAGTCCTCCCACAGGAGTCCTCCCAAAAGGATATGTGTGCAAATATGTGAACAAGGGATGCTAACGAGTTCAATAGCGCATTTTCTTAACCTTAAGGGATAAAGATACTTAAGAAGCGAATATGAAGCCTTTCAAGAACAAATAAAAATGCCAGACAAAAGAGAGAAGGCTGCTTAAATTAAACTGGTGGCTTCAGTGTGCAGACAGCACAGGTCTTTCTATTTCTATGATATATTTCTATGATTCTGTGAAGCTTGTGCAGCTCAACATGTAGGAAATGATGTCGCCGACGAGGAAGTTCGATAATAATAATTATTATGCCCCACAAAGTGAATGACCATTTTTATCTGGGGGATTGAGAAACTTTCAACTGTGTTTGAATAGCGCTGTGGAATCTCTTAAATCCACCTGACCAGGTAGACAGGACCTCAGGTTAACGTCTCATCCAAAGGGTGAGACACCTCCAGCAAAGCAACTGCTCCTTAAGCACCGCGTGAGCTCAAGATCCTGATGTGGCTCAGAGTTGAGAGTGCTACCAAGTGAGCCAGACTGGTTTAGCCTGGGAAACTGGTTGAATTTTATGGCCCCTGAATGGGATTCTACTGCAGTCATTTTTTTAATCAACAAAATCCATTAGAAATATATTGCTTGCCTACAAAATATGGACGCTACGCTTCACAGTAAATGCCATTGAAGTGCTTTGAGACGTTTTGACAGCGTGATAAGGTGCTACATCCAATGCAAAGATTTCATTGTATCTCCTGGAACTTCAGCCCCACACGATCAAAGGTTTTTCTTGTTGTGAAATAAAGTAATAGTACTTGCATTTGATATAATTTGATATAATTATATTTAATATAGCACCTTATCACGCCGTTGAGACAACTCAAAGCCCTTCACTGAATATATTGTAAATACAGTATTTTAATTGTAATTTTAAGGTAAGATTATAATATATCAGCGATTATCAGTCTGAGCGATTCTCTTGTTGTGGCTGATTGACTGAGATCGGCAAAGCTGAGGATGTTGACTTTGCTCCCCAGGAAACAAGTGTTTTTTAATAATATTTTCTTCTTGACAACCGTCTTGTCGCTGATATTATGTTGTCAGACAGATCATCGCAATTTGCATAATTTCTTCCCAAGCAAGCCCGAGATTCCCCATCTACTATTTTTGTGCCCCTAATGCGGCAACATCAATATTGCAGAGGAAATATTAATACAGGCATAATACAGAGACTGCAGAAACAGAGTATCACAGTGACTGTCTCGAAGCTTCTTGATCAGTAGGACATTCATTGGCATTTAAAGGGCTGGTGTGCGGAACTCCACACAAGCTTTTAGTTTGTGGTTGAACAGAGCTTTCTCTCCAACTCTACCTGGGAATCGAACCCGGGTCTTGCGAGCACTATTATTATAACACCAACAACTTGCACTTATATAGCACCCTCCACACAGGGTAGCGCTTAACAGTGGCGAAGCCTACTATAATACTTTCCAGCAGCACACAAGGGGACTCAGTAATTGTCCTTGATGTTTTGTTTGTCTCTGTGTTTTTCCCCCTCCTGTAGTTCACAAAACTGAGTCCGACAGTGAAGTGAGAACCAGCGGTTCCCCTGACTGGATTTGTGTCCCAGCTCTAGCCTCCTCTGCTTCACAGTCTGGAAACCTATCGCAGTCCACAACCCCATCTGGCTCGAGCATCTCCACCCCAAGGTCATCAAAACCGTCCCCTCAATCACAGTCGCCCCCCATGAAAGGAGCATCTCCCAGCCAGGCTCATTCATCCACCTCAGTTGGTCAGAGACCTGAGGAGTTGACACAACAATTACAACAGGCGCTGACTGAGCAGAGAGAACAGCAAGAGGTGAGCGACAAACCTAGACTCCTTAATTATTTTTTGTTCAACCGGGTGTTCGACTCATGCAAATACCTTTCACCAAGCTTAAGAGTATCCAAACCAACAACGACAATTTGCATTTATATAGCGCTTTTCACGTTGGGTTAGCGTCCTGGAGTGCTTGACAGTGGCAGAGTCTGACCCTGAGCCAGTGAGGAGAGGGAGGGGGGGAGGTGACCGTAAGCACGATCGAAAAGGAAGGTCTTTAGGCAGGATTTGAAGGTGGAGAGGGAAGGGGCAAGGCAGAGGGATTGAGGAAGGGAGTTCCAGAATTTCGGGGCATTTTGGCTGAAGGCGTGACCACCGATGGTGGAGCGGAGGGGACAAGGGACAGAAAACAGATGGAGAGTTCCACATATGCACACCACCTTACACATGGAAATTTCCCTGTGTCTGAGACACTCTCTCCCCGGAGGCACGAACCCTGCTTACCTGATTCCAGAGAGTATTAAACCCAAATTGGGGCGAACCAAGACTTGAGGACCTCAGAGTGTGCTGTGCATTGGGGTACAAAGCGCAAAGTACACAGTCACTGCACTTTACAGTAAATGATTTGAAGCACTTTGAGATGTTCTCCTGATATGAAAGGTACTGTATCAAATGCTAAGGTTATTATTATTATTGTTATTGTCCCTTTCACCCTGTCCTGCACACACACAGTTCGAATTCCCACCCACAACTCTGTGTACACTCAGTATGGCGAAATACACGCTTTCTAACCCCCTAGCTGTCTCCACAACTGTGTCAGTTCTTGCACAGCACCACTCACACCTCTGTTAAATTGATTTCCTAGGTTTCCCCCCACAACCCCCTCCTGTAGCAGACTGTCTGTCACCTTGCCTGATGTTTCTTTTCATTCGGAGTGATATCTTTGTCAAGTTTCCTTACTCCCCATGCCTCTGTTTACTTAGCAGTAAATTGTTAGTCAATTGGCGTATCGCTTTCCGGGGGTAATAATCCCTCCGCCACCACTCCCCATCCTTTTAAAAAATAATTTGGTCACTCAATCCACAACTGTCTGTGAAACATTACTGTGCACAACTGGATGCCGGGATTCAATCACAAGATATACAATCAATCCATTTTACAATATAATAATAATAATAATCCTTGTATTTGATATAGCGCCTTATCACATCTTCGAGGCATCTCAAAGCGCTTCACCGAATATATTGTAAAGTGAATTCCCTCTATATTTTGTGGACGAAATATATTCTGTGAAGCGCTTTGAGATGACTCAATGGTGTGATACGTGATATTATTATTTTATTCTGTTTGCTGTAAAAAAACAGGCCATCAAAGAGTATTTGAAAGTATTAGTGGATCTGAAGGAGGACCAGAGGAACTTCAAGTTACTGGAAGATCAGAAACAGTTGATCGCCAAACAAGCAGAGCTTCTCCGTGAACTTGAAAATCTGTCTCCCAAACTCCACCCACATGAGGAAGATCTGACAGGTGTTTATACTCCACAGGAGCCCCCATTCCCTCCTGTTCGCCTCTCCTATATCCCTCTATTCACTTTGCCCCCATGTACCCATCAAGGTTCCTCTTAAATACATTTATATTATTTGCTTCCAGCACAGCTTATGGGAGTGAGTTCCCCATTCTCACCAGCCTCTGTGTGAAACATTCCTCCTAAACTGCCTGATAAACTGCTGGATATCTTATATATAAGATATTGCTCACAAAATAAAGTCAATTCACTTTTCAGGATTATCTGTGAAGCACTTTGAAACATCTGGAAGAGATGATAAGGCACTAAACCAAATACAAGGATTATTATTATTATTATTTATGCCCTCCAGTTTTAGACTCACCATTCCATGGGGAATGGGATTAGAGTAGATGACTCCAATTCGTGAGATTGCTCCAATGAGCTAATGACCTCCTCCTGTTTTATAAATTTTCCATCATTCTGCAATCTACTATGCCTTATAGTGGATTATAGAATGGCTATTATTATTACAGATTATGATATAGATTACTATCCATCATTTTATAATCTACAAAGAAAAGATTTTACCACTGTATCTGTCTGGGTGTGACTGTGCCCTCAGTCATTGACGTGAGTAACAATAACATCTGCAAATTACAATTAAAGAGCCTTTCACGTTGGGAGGACATCCCAAGTTGTTGGGTAGTCAGGGATTTGGACCCGAGTTGGGGGTTGGGATCAGGAAGGGTAGGGAGGATAGAGGGTTTGCCAATGATTTGTTTCTGACGTTGTGTTGTTAAATGTTGTGTGCTATTGAGGTTTGCAAAGGGCAATTTCAAGACAGAAACCATAATTGACGACTGGAATGAGTTACCAGGAAGAGTGGTTGAGGCCATGAATCTGGAATTATTTAAAGATTATCTTGATGCTGTGACGGGGGGAGATGAGATGTTGATGTGGGTATTCTGGAAAAATGAGATTAAATCGGTCCATATGGACCAAAGGGTATTCTTGAACTAATGTGATCTTGCGATGAGTAATTCCTACTCAGGCTTGAGGCAATCAATGAATTTTTTTTGTCTCCCACGGAAAGCTTACTGATGTTTAAAACCTTCAAGTTACACATCATTTGCAATGTGTTCAAGACCCACAACACGACTTTGAACTCATAGTCCAGGCTGACACTCTAGAGAAGTGTTGGGTCAGCACCTCATTGTTGGAGGTGTGGACCTTTGGATGAGACATTAAACCGAGGGCTTGTTTGCCCGTTCAGGTGTTAAACGTTAAAGAACCCGTGGCGCTATAAAGTGCTGTACAAAGTGTAAGATTATTATGGATTATCATCAACAGAAGAACGAAAAATCAAAGATCTGACTGTGAGAATTTTTAAAATAAGTTTTTTTTGAAATGCCTTGTTTTCTACAGGAGAGTTATATGAGCATTTAGCTGATTGTTGACTATGGTTCAGTGGATTATGAAATCAACCTGAGTCGACATGGCTGCACCAGTTCTGTGTCTGCAAAATCCAGTAAAATGTTAAATATGTGGGGAACCACTGAATATTTAATCAGCCCTAACCAAGTACACTGATCTCTGATTTTTTTTCTGTCTCTCACGGAAAGCTCACTGACGTTTAAAACCTGAGCTTTCAATAATAAAGACGGAAACTGTCCCTCCCACATTATTAATGTCTGCCGATGGGTGGTGATGGATTGTTTAATTATTTCAAAGTGCACATTAGGAATAGCACAAACCAGGAACATTAGGGGAACATTTGGTGACAAAGGCAGCCTGCCTCAGGCGAACACAGCAGCTTGTACAAGTAACACAGTGCACTGCGTTTCGCGGTTTGAAATGTACTGCACGCACTACTATAATATATTAATGTTTCAGCCTTATCATCGAGACATCTCATAGTGCTTTACGGGATTTTACTGCGCAGAACAGTGACTGTGTTTACAGGCAACCATCATACAGTACGATTTGCATTTATATAGCATCCTTCACTTTGTGAGGATGTCTCAAAGTGCTTGATAACGCTGGCTGGACACTGGAGCTGGTGTTCGGGAGCCAAAGCGGATGGGAAGGGGAAAGGTGACCAAAATAGCAGCACAAGGGGTACATCTTCAGGCAGAGCTTGAACGAATTAATATGAGTAAACGCGTGTTTTGTGTGTGTGAGGTCAGTGTGTGAGTGTGAGGTCGGTCTGCTTCCACCATTCTTTCAGGCAATGCATTCCAGACCATAACAACTCTCTGTGTAAAAAAAATTCTCCTCAACTCCCCTCTGGTTCTTTTGCCAATTATTTTAAATCTATGTTCCCTGGTTACTGACCCACCTGTCAGAGGAAACAGTTTCTCCCCATCCACTCTATCAAAACGTCTCATAATTATGAACACCTCTTATTAAATCTCCACTTAACCTTCTCTGCTCCAAGGAGAACAATCTCAGCTTCTCTAGTCTCCACGTAACTAAAGTCCCTCATCCCTGGTACCATCCTGGTAAATGTCCTCTGCACCCTCTCCAAGGCCTTGATATCCTTCCAAAAGTGTGGTGACCAGAATTGGACACAATACTCCAGCTGAAGCCTAACCAGTGACTTATAAAGGTATAGCAGAACTTCCTTGCTTTTGAACTCTATGCCTATATTTATGCTTTTTAACAGCTCTATCAACCTGTCCTGCCAACTTCAAAGACGTGTTTATGTAAACCCCCAGTTCTCTCTGCTCCTGAACCACCTTTAAAACTGTACCATTGTATATTATCAACGAACCAAATACAAATAGTATTATTGATCTTTACATGGCTATCGTAAGTGATTACAATGGAATAATAATAATAATCCTTGCATTTGATATAGCGCTTTTCACGTCTTCTATACGTCTCAAAGCGATTCACAGAATAGACTGTAAAGTGAATTGACTGTATATTTGTGGGCGAAACGCGGCAGCCAATTGCGCACAGCAATGTCCCACAAACAGTCATGGATTGAAAATAACCAATTTATTATTGTTTTGTTTTTGGAGTAATTATTATTAGGCGTGTGGAGTGAGGAAACTTGCCCAAGGTTTCGCCCTCTGCCTGGAATTGAACCCAAGTGTCTCGCTTGCAAGGCGAGTGCTCTAACCACTGAGCTACAGGACTCCAAGAAACAAGGAACGAGAGTAAATCGTTCCTTGATATATTGATATATTGATTGTTAAGCGCTCTGAGTTGCTACCATGCATGGAGGGCTTATAGGTTTTCTCTGTTACTACACTTTGTGTCATGGAACAATTTCTAACAGCATCCAATCCCTTTTTGGAGGCTTTAAGGGGGTCACACCATACTTATGCAGTTACCATATATAACAAACAGGGCTGCTATTTTCTTCAGTTTGGGATTGTATCAGCCACATCGACATATTGATTATCTATGATTTTTTTAAATTTACAAACATTAATGAAAATATTTTGTCCAATTTGGAAACTAGAGAAAGGCGCGGCAAAGGCAGCAAATAGTTGATTAGCTTTCTATGAATTATAAAGTCTTCACTCACTGGATGAATCATGTTCAGTGCTTTGGGACGTCCTCCCGATGTGAAAGGCGCTGTACAAATGTAATCTTGCTGTTGTTGCATCTACAAATTGAATGGGATATAAGGGGCAGTATAAAACATAATTCCTCTAATCATCTGTGCAACTGGGACTTTTAATAACACTGTTCAAAAATGGCTTGACAAAATACCTGGTGAGCAAAATATCAACCTCCTGCAGAAAGTAGCTAAAATTAGGACATTCAAACTTACTAAGAAAACTAATTGTGGAGTCCTGTAGCTCAGAGGTTAGAGCACTCGCTTTGCAGGCGAGAGACCTGGGTTCGATTACCAGCAGGGCGAAACCTTGGGCAAGTTTCCTTACTCCACACGCCTCATAACAACCCTCCAAGAAAAAACAAAATAATAATAAATTGGTCATTTCAATCCACGACTGTTTGTGGGACACTGCTGTGTGTAATTGGCTGCTGCATTTCGCCCACAGTCAATTCATTTTACAGTATATTCTGTGAAGCGCTTTGAAATGTCTGGAAGATGTGAAAAGCGCTATATAAAATGCAAAGATTAATATTATTATCTATCCATATGTAATGTGGCAGTATTATTGGTCTGGCTGACCATCACTGAAAACAAATTAGAAATTACCTCTACAGAGTGAATTAAATTGTAATAACCCCATCATCATAAAAAATAACCCTTGCATTTTTGATATAGCACCTTTCATATCGGGGAGGATGCCTCAAAGAGCTTCACATGGTTTACAATACAACACAATTTACATTTATATTGCGCCTTTCATATCAGGAGGATGTCTTCAAGCGTTTTACTCAGCTTCCTGGGCACCCGAGACTGGGAGAGCTGAAAAGGTTAAGAGAGGCGGAAAAGATGTCCCAAATCGCAGTCAAAAAGAGATACGTCTTGAGGCGAGCTTTAAAAGTAGGGATGTTGCAGAGGGCATGGGCAGAATGACTGAAAGCTCATCCGCTGATGATAAAGCAGGGGACATGAAGCATGCCAGCGTTCACGAGAGTGACTGAGTCAGTAAATAGGGGTGCAGGAGGTCTCAGAGGTAGTGTAGCGGTGAGGCCATAGAGGGATTTAGTGTGAGGTCAGTGACTGTATTTTGTAGGTGAACACAGCAGCCGATTCGCACACAGAAATGTCTACTAAAGACCATGAGGTGAGTGATCAATTTTATCTGGGGATTATTGGCCAGGATATCATGAGAAACTCCACGTAGTCTTTTACACAAGTGTTGAATCAACAAACAACCACACCCAATCCTCGCTTGTTGTTTCTCGAGATCTACATGCGTTTCTTTCGGTGAGTAAACCAGTGGGCAATAGCAGCGGCAACAACAAGACTAAATAGAACACAACAACAACTTGCATTTATATAGCGCCCTTCTCGCAGGATAGTCTCTCGGATCTCTGCAAGAGCAACTCAATAAAGGATGTAAGGCGTCGGAGCTATGATTTTAAACGGTCATTTGGCAAAAATAATAATAATAATTCTTGCATTTTTGATTCAGAGCCATTCATGTCAGGAAAACATTTCAAAGCACTTCACAGGGTGTAGTGTAGAGTGGAGTGGCTAGTGTATGAAGTGGGCAATCGTGGCAGCCAATTTGTGTGCACCACTGTCCCACAAATAGGGGGACTCGGGAAGAGGCAGGAAATACTGCAGTTCAAAGGGTGGGCATGAAGCTGACAACACTACGAGGTGATACTGTAAGCAAAAGCCCTTGCTAACCTCAAT